TTTTGTGTCTCTTTATAGTCATTTTGTGTCTCTATGTAGTTGTTTTGTGTCTCTATGTAGTTGTTTTGTGTCTCTTTATAGTCATTTTGTGTCTCTATGTAGTTGTTTTGTGTCTCTATGTAGTCATTTTGTATCTCTGTAGTTATTTTGTGTCTATGTAGTTGTTTTGTGTCTCTGTAGTTGTTTTGTGTCTCTCTGTAGTTGTTTTGTGTCTCTGTAGTTGTTTTGTGTCTCTCTGTAGTTGTTTTGTGTCTCTTTGTAGTTGTTTTGCCTATTTCTTAGTTATTTTGTGTCTCTGTGTCCCCAATTTGTGTCTTTTTGTAGTTGTTTAGTGTCTCTCTGTGCTTGGTATGCCCAGTCCTGTAATTCTTTTGTCTCTTTGTAATCAGTTTGTTTCACTTTGTAGTTGTTTTGTGTCTCTTTGTAGTTGTTTTGCCCATTTTTTTGTTCTTTTGTGTCTCTGTGTCATCAATTTGTCTCTTCGTAGTCGTTTTGTGTCTCTCTGTAGTTGTTTTGTGTCTCTTTGTAGTTGTTTTGTGTCTCTCTGTAGTTATTTTGTGTCTCTATGTAGTTGTTTTGTGTCTCTCTGTAGTTGTTTTGTGTCTCTTTGTAGTTGTTTTGCCTTTTTCTTAGTTATTTTGTGTCTCTGTGTCCCCAATTTGTGTCTTTTTGTAGTTGTTTAGTGTCTCTCTGTGCTTCGTATGCCCATTCCTGTAATTCTTTTATGTCTCTTTGTAATCAGTTTGTTTCACTTTGTAGTTGTTTTGTGTCTCTTTGTAGTTGTTTTGCCCATTTTTTTGTTCTTTTGTGTCTCTGTGTCATCAATTTGTCTCTTCGTAGTTGTTTTGTGTCTCTCTGTAGTTATTTTGTGTCTCTTTGTAGTTATTTTGTGTCTCTTTGTAGTTGTTATGTGTCTCCCTGTAGTCATTTTGTGTCTCTATGTAGTCATTTTGTATCTCTTTGTAGTTGTTTTGTGTCTCTCTGTAGTTATTTTGTGTCTCTATATAGTTGTTTTGTGTCTCTGTAGTTGTTTTGTATCTCTTTGTAGTTGTTTTGCCTATTTCTTAGTTATTTTGTGTCTCTGTGTCCCAAATTTGTGTCTTGTTGTAGTTGTGTAGTGTCTCTCTGTGCTTGGTATGCCCATTCCTGTAATTCTTTTATGTCTCTTTGTAATCAGTTTGTTTCACTTTGTTGTCTCGTTGTAGTTGTTTTGTGTCTGTAGTTGTTTTGTGTCTCTTCCTGGTCACTACCTGTTAATTTAAGTTACATTTTGCCAATGAAAGGCCGAAGGCCGGGGTAGGCCCATTCAGTAATCCATCCATGGTCATGACGCAGCAGATGTGGCAGCAGCACTGTGTTAACTCTCAGTGACTCACACGACAGTTTGAGACATTTATTTCCTGGTATTAGCGAGCTGTGTTGGGGGCCGTTAAGAAAAGCGTGTCTCGCTGCATGAATCTCTGGTGATGTGGTGCAACTTTCTCTCTGTCTTCCTGGCTCTTTTTTTTTTTTTTTAGCTTGTAAGACTCCCCTCTCTCTTTCTGCAGGTGTGCGTTAGTAGCATCGCATCCTCTCTTTCTTTCACTCTCTCTCTCTCTCTCTCTCCGTGCTCCATCTGTGCGTCAGTCACACGACAGAGAGGAGACTCTTGGGCAAACTCTCACCTCCAATGCTCTGCGGCCTCTCTTCTGACACAGCCTTCCTGAGGGTCAGGTGTCGGCCGTCTGCTCTGCTCCCTTTGGCCGACACAACCGATGGCAGGGCCGGCAGCCAATCAGACTGGGCTCTCTGTATGGTGAGCACGCCCACTACGCTGTGTCTCTGGTGCCTCAGCGAGAGGCGGCCTCTTTGGCCTGGTTTGTTTGCGCAGGGTCAGGTGTCAGAGGGGTCAACGCCAGGAAACAAAGGTCATGGGGGTCGTTTTTTTAAGATGGAAGGAGGGAGGAGCTAGATGGAGATTCAGAGAGCGGTTTATCTTCACCATGGCAACCAGCTTGACTGTCAATCACATGCAGCCACAGTGTGCAGTGCACATTCGCCCCCCTCCTGCATGTCACTAAGAGGCGGGCTGTGCAGCATTGACTGAGGTGCATCGTGAGTCCGATAGTTGTTCAAACAAAAAAGGGGGGTGTTAGCGGACTGCATGCACAGCCATCTCAGTGGAGGAGCTTCAGAAAAGCTGGTCTTTGTTTGTTAACAAAAAAAGGAAATAAAACAGAAGTCCAAAAAATAAAATGAAAAGAAAACTACCAAAAGAGGTTAATGATATTTCGGGGAGGCGGGGGTGGGATTGCAACTTTCTTCTGTTTCACTGTTTGGATCAATCAGTCCAAAATGTGTAACTGCTACCTGGTGGCAGAAACCTCTCGAGTAGGCAGAAACTTCTTTCCGGCGAACTCGGCTTCATTAACTGAACTTGTAGCAACAAAATTTGCTAGTCTTGTCATTTGAGAGAGCTGGAGCTGACAGTTACTGACAGATTTTGCTGATTTGTTCCATCAGAATATGTCGTGTAACTCTGCTGTCACTGTTCCAGATATGACTTTTTTTTCCCATACTGTCATCATATGTAAGGCTACTATATTTAAAACAGAAAGGAAATACTTCAACGTAGGTAAAAGCGATTATTTCTGTTTAACCTTATATTAAAGTAATATTAGAGAATACATTTTTGCCTGTTTAGTTGGTTTTAAAGTGGTTAAACTGGCCTTCATAAGCAACCATTACGCCTCTTTGGGTTCTTTAAAAAAGGAAAACTTAAGAAGGTCAAAGACAGTGTGCTACAGTACAGGTGAGGGCTCTACACACTTGTGAGTACATACAGAAGAGAAGCGGTGAGAGGTCGACACACTGTGAATACAACGGGGGGGGGGGGGGGGGGGGGGGGGGGGGGGAGACCAGAGGGTGTAAAAGGGTGAAGGGAAACCAAGAATAGAAGAAAGGAAACTAAAGGAACAGAAAAAAAAAATAACAGAAGTTAGAACAGATGAGTGCGAGGAGGCCATGCTGCGTGGGCTTTATTTGCGTCTTGGTTTACTTGGTTGGAGGCGTTGCGGCGGCGGCTGCTGCTGTGACTGCTGTGGGGCATCGCCCGTCGCTACGGCAGCGCCTCCGCTGCTTCCCGCGCTGCCGTCCTGATGGTGTTGCCGCGCGGCACTTTTGCTGGAGCGTGAAGCGCCGTGCGAGCGAGAGTGTTGGCTGTGTCCGTGGCTGTGGCTTTGGCTCTGGCCCTCGGACGGGGAAGGCTTCGATGTGCCAGGGCTACTGTGAGATTTCTCGATAGTGGGCACCTGCGTGTCTAAAACAACCAGATTCACCAAATTACCAAAAAAAGCTGCTTTAACTTTACTTAACTTGTGTAACCATCAGTGGCTAATTCAGCCATGGTAACTGCCTTATATACGTCTATGATCTCAAAGCATCCTCATTAAATTTGAAGGTTATTTTTGCTACATTAGGGGTGCATTCAAAGCCTTCCACGGCCCTGTTACCCTCTGTGTTAGAAGAAAGATAGAGGGAAGCTAAGGCTAGGCCTCTGAGCTGGGTGACATCATGGCAACCAAGAAAACAGACCATGAGAAAGCAAAAAGCATGAAGCTGAAGCTACGATGGGGGCGCAAAAATGGGCATAGGAAGGTGCTGGTAGAAGGAAAAGACTGTGAGAGAGAAACAGGCGCACAGACACCGAGATAGTGGGGAGAAACAGACGAGAGAAGCAGTGACAGAGTAAGTGAGAGTGCGAGGAGGAGAGAAAAACAAGAAGACAAGGAGAGAAGAGGGAAACAGCAGAAGCAGCAGAGTACAGACGGTTTGTTAGGGGATGATGGTGAGAAAGTCGAGCAGGTGAGGGAAGTTCATCGTGTCCTACCCTTGGCCGGATCTGGAAAGATCCCGTGGCTTCGGCTCTTGATGACAGATGATTTTGGGGAATCCTGATTGTCATGTGCGGAGCCGGCGGTTTTAGGGGAGGAATGCTGTGACGAGGGTTTGGAGGAACCGTGTCGGCTCTGTCCTGAGTGGGAGCGCCGGTGGTGGTCCCCCTCGCTCTGCTCCTTCAGGGGGAGCCACCGCGGGACATTGTCCAGCTGGGTTGTGTTGGACAGGTCAATAAGAACCTGGGAACAAACACAATTCTTTAATAGGCATATGCATAAAACATGTATCTGTACACCAGTGAGCTGAACATATTGTCAGTGCTTTTACCTCCCCTAAGAAATCATTCGAGGAGCCCTTGTCGTAGTCCCACACGCTCACTTCCAGGGTCTTCTTCCTCAGCTGACACACACACACACACACACACACACAAACACAGTCAAAGAGTTCGTCTTTATAATGACTAACTATCTTGGCTGGGCGCATAATGAAAAAACAAAAATAAACCTTAAAGACGGAAACATATGATCGGGGCTTAAAGTGGGAGCAGACATCCAGCAGCTTAAAACAACAGAAGTCCACAGATTTGCTCCGACTGATATGGGTCCAATGCATCTAAAATGGGATCTAAAATGATATAATTAAATCCCAATGGCATATCCATCTGCTCCGCTAAAACCAATGGCCACAATGCTAGAAGGCATGCCAGCAGAGACGAGGCAATATCATCGCTTTAACATGGACACTGTGAGCTCTCTTGCCTGACATACCCTGACTATTGGGGAGTTATAGAAAGTACACTGCACAATATTCACATTCCTTTGTCAGGTTATTAATACACAGTCATTTAAAGTTCCTCTCCTGGCATCCCTTCGTGACTTAAAATGGCTTAGATGTAACTCATTAAAACTCATTAAATTGTCTTGTAAATATCTTGCCTTTTATTTTACTTCCTGTTTGCTTTACCGTCAGCCAGCCAGCTAGCCATTTTAATTTGTGAAACAGTGACCACTACCCACCCTCGGGTCTCCACTGGTTAGCTAATGTTAGCCTTGGCCTCTCCACACTTTGCACCACCCTGGTTAGATGAGAGCTAAGTTAGCTAGTGGCGCAGCTCATGGGAACTGCCCATTGGTCCGACAGCCCATTGGTTCAACATCCCATTGTTCCAACCATATTAAACCCATTGTTCCGAAGTCCGTTCCGAAATCATCATGATGCCCTGTGGTTAAGGTCTGGTTAGGTTTAGGCACAAAAACCACTTGGTTAGGGTCAGGAAAAGATCATGGTGTGGGTTAAAATGAAAAAGAAAGTGACAAACACATAAGCCGTGAGCCTGCTCCGCCTCAAGTCTTTCCCAGCTGACCCAGAGCCGGTCGCGGCGCACCATACGCCTGCCGTGAGCCGTTCAGCACCGCAGACAGTCGGACTAATGGGATGTCGAACCAATGGGCTGTCGGACCAATGACATGGACCCCAGCTCATTCGCGATTACCACTGCTAACACTATCCAAGTGGTGGGATGATGCTGGTGCAGCAACATGGTGGCCACCCTCAAGTCTCCCCCTGGTAGCCCTGGTAAGTCAGTGGCATTATTTTGAGATGCGAAAACCCTTTAGCACTGTTAACTATTTCAGCACCACAAGGATACTGACGCTGCTAACAGTGCTAACAGTGCTAGTTAGCAATGCTAAAGGGGGATTGCAGATCAAAATTGAGCTACTTACTCACCGGGCGACCTAGGGGAAGGCTGGAGGGTGGGCACAATGTTTCCCCGGCAACATTTTTGGGCCAGGATGGCATTGGTAGTAGCAGTTATAACCAAATGAGCAATACTGCTAATTAGCACCCGCCTGACCCAGGGAAGCGCAACTGCAGCCAAGGCTAGCTATCCAGTGGAGAGCTAGCCAGCTGTCTGTCCCCCACCAGCCCCGGATGGTGCACCATGTAGTACATATGAGTAGCGGAATTAACCCATAGACCAACATGTGTAACTGGTCAAAAACACTTCCAGTGGTTAACCGATTAGCTTGACTATGGTATCAAACAGCTAATAACGTGTTGCTAATGTACAATAAACCTCGTTCCTGATCACCAGCTCTGACAAGTTGAAGAAAAAGTAGAACTTATTTGGCAACATACAGATACATAGCGTGGCTTCTCCTCTGATAACTATTGTTTCGCAGTAACTTGATGCTAATATGGAAAGCTCCACCCTGCAAATTGACAGGATTGGCTCCTTAGGTGTGTGATGTCACAAACCCTGGCTTTCAGAGTCTGTGTTGTTAAGACTGTCATGGATACACTGCAGTTCCAAGGCAGAAATGCTCAGCCATGGCGTTGACAGCTTATTTCGCTCATGATATATCTAATGGCATACACAAAACCCCATATGCACAAGTCTGGTTAAGAACTTGATTTTCACTAGAGGGGGTCTTTAAGATAATACAACCCAGGTCTGTGACATTGGACGTGTGTCTGTGCCTGCAAGAAATTTGTGTATGACCACATACTTGCTCCAGGTGGATGTTTTTATAGATGACAGTCTGGTTCCACTCCGGGTTGAGACTCTTTCCTGCGTGTTTGGACCTCCTCTTGTTCTCAGCACTGGGGGAACACATCACAACAAGACACACTTGGTAACAGACACGCGAAAGCCCTGGAGGAAAGCGGACCACCACAATGCAGTGAGCACAATATATTGGGCACAATGTAAGACAGTAGAAGGGAGAGAATGAATGTGATGCACATTGTTCGAACGGCAACAATGTATGGGCCTACGTGCATGGACGGCAGGGTACGATGTCAGGGCGGGCTGCAAAAAAGTCCACTTTGATGTCCATCAAGTCATTTAGTCTCAGAAAAATTTGACGTCCTAAAACAGGTGAAAGTGTTGCCCTAATTCTTGTTTTGTTAAGCACCAATACAAAACCCTTGAAGATGTAAATTTGCAGTCTGACTTCACCTGTTTTAGGAGAAAGTATTTTACATCACAGCAGACTGACTGGAACATAATGACTTGTTAAGGTGGATGTTTTTTGCAGTGTGTGGGGTTAGAGTTAAGATCGTAGAATATGGGTAAGTCTGTCAGAGTTAGTTTGGTAAAGACAAGGACAATCTACTGTATATTGGAAAATAATGGGATGGATAAGGACTGCATAGCAAAATAATGGGAGTGTGTACTGAATGTGACGGGGCATCGAAGGTACGGTATGATGTCAGGGCACGATGTAGGACATTACTGAGGGGTTTTAAATCACAAAACAGGGACAAACTAAAGGGTGTCAGATTCAATGTTGGGATATCAAATTACAATGGGAACAAAAACAGACCATCTACCAGGAAAACACAACAGTCAGCCGGGAAAATGTTAATCATCAGCACAGGGGAATATACGTTTATTAATGTTATATTAAGGAGATGAGAAGATATTTAGGTATTCTACTAGGCCTAAAGGTGGGTGGAACATCATGAGAATATGGGGACCGGGGGAAAATGCACAGTTTAAGGGAGTTAGTGGAACTAAACAAACTGATTTGTATCAACAAGCTTCCGAAAACAAATTTAGGACGTTTTGTTACCTCCACCAAACTGTCCACCAAATTTCAACCAAAACAGAACCAAAGTGGTCAAGTCACATACCTGGCATTCTGGACAACCATGACCTGACTGAGGGGGTCCAGCATGCATTAAATATAGAGAACAACATACAGAAACAATCGTCAGAGGGAGGGAGGGGGGTCAAAGAGTGTCTGTGGACTGTGAGTGTGTGTGTGTGGGAAGGGGAGATTATTGTAGGTTTAGGTTCAGAATGTGATTCATTGAGTGCGTGTTCAGGACAAGGGCAAGAGCGGGGGACTGTAGTGTGCTGCAGCGGTGGATTGAATCTGTGCTTGAGTGTCTCATGAGTTGTGTTGAGAGGGCTTTCAGGTGATGTAACGCATCCATTGGCAACCGTGGTGGAGATCTGCTGCTCGTGGAACAGCTGTGGACAGCTGGTTGCATTTATAAATCTTCCCTGGTGCTACGACTGGGGCTGCATCCTTCTGTGTGCAAACACAAAATCCCATCTAATTTGTGTTTACATAGTTTGTTAGCTGTAAAATCATCATTTCTTTACATAGCACGACTGTGTAGAGCTGAAAGACTGTTTTTCAAAATGTGAAAATCACAGCAATTAACACTATCTTGGCTGATACCACATGTTACAGTGCGACAGATTCCTGCAGAACAAGCCAAATTTGGACACTAATGTACGATAATTTATCAAACTTTGCACTTTCAGCAGGAGTTATGCTTCTGTAGAAATTTGCGTAAAGGCTTAAAGCGAAGGTAGTTACGCTCCGACAGAAAGTGTGACCATCGCCATAGGAGTGTGCATGCATTCAGTGAAGATCAATCTACATTACCTTACTTCAATTTCACCTAAGTAAATGAAAAACAGCAACATGTGGATTGTTTCATTCATCGTTTTAGTACCGTTGTTTTATCTCCGAGGCTTTGTAAAGTAACTTAGCTCATCTATAATAATGGATGCTTTTTATTCTTCTGTCCAGTGTAGTTTTTTAATCCACAAAACTCGTTCGGGGTATCGGAGGATAACAGCTAGCCGGGAATAACAGCAACACTTGAAGTGCACGGAACCCACATTTTGAAAATGTATTAAAACTCTGCTAATATATTTCAGAAACGTCAGAACGGCTCATCCGTCGTAATCCAAGTGCCCTGAAGCCTTGAAAAGACATGACTTGAAAAGACGTAATTTACTCCACTTTTGTAGCATCATGATGGCTGATGGCTAGTGGTGGTGCTAGTTCTCGAGTCTCGCGCGAGTTGCCATGTAAACACAGTACGCCCGCAGGCTAACTGACCACGGTGAGAAATTATGCTATAAAAGTGGAGTAAATTACGTCTTTTCAAGTCAGTTTTGCATGCCGCGGCTTCAGGGCACTTGGATTACGATGGGCGAGCTGATCTGACGTTTTTGAAATGCAGTAGCAGAGTTTTATTACATTTTCAAAATGTGGGTTCTGTGCACTTCAAGTGTATGGAAAAATCTGGCTAGCTGTTATCTCCGATACCCCGAACGAGTTTTGTGGATTAAAAAACTACACTGGACTTCTTGTCGGCATGAGGGTGAGCAAGTACTGCCTACATTTTCATTCTAAAGTGGCCATTTCCTTTAACTAACTTTGTCTACCGAAAAAACCAAGGCAATCATATATTTTCCTCATAAAGCAAATGTGTTTAATGTTATAATTTACCATGCGGTTGATTACTTGGCTATCTTATGTTACTGTTTGGGAGCCAGACCCAGACATGCTGTCAATCAGCCTACTGAAAGGAATTTCCCAACTGACATCTGTGTGTGGAGCCAATGTGGGTACAAAATGGGCTGAAAAATGCATCCTATATAGGACTGTTCACAGTGGTGTAGTGGTAATTGATGAGGTGGGTGTACTACTAGGTAGATGTTACTAATGAGGAAGTGGGCATACTCTCCTATATATTACAATGGCTTTTTAGCTGATAGGTGGGTATACTGTAACTGGATAGAAAATGAAGTGGGTATACCCTGTATACCTGGGTATACCCTCCACTAAACCACTGACTGTTCACAGGTTCCATATTGACCCCATGTTAATTACCCACATGAGTGGGTTTACCCAAGTGAGCCCCAGATAAGGTACCCATTTTGGGCCCATCACAGTTGTTACCCAGGTTAGCCCTAGCATATCTGGTGTGGAGCTCACTTGGGTGAACCGACCCATGTGGGCAATTGACCTATGGCTAAGCTCCGCCCTCAAATGCGATGCGCCAGTCACAGTGTGTATAGCCATTCCCATACACTCGGACATTCTCTGCCTGGATGTCCACTGAATTAGAAAGTCAGTTTCGTTCGGTTTTATGAGCTTTTTCTGAGATTTGAAGTTTAAAAATGTTCAAACGGTGTGCATGGGGTACATGCAACTCCGACACAAGGTATCCTGAGAGGCTGGGTGACGAGGTGTATTTTTTACCCTTTAAACCACATCTCAACCGAGAAAAGTGTCTCCTTTGGATAAAGTTGTGCTGTAATATTACACCACAACATCAACTCAACGTGAATAAGATTAACAATGATGTCTACATCTGTTCTAAGGTAAGTCAACATTGTGTTTGAGACAACATATTGTCACTTTGCTGGAAAGAAATATAAAGTTATCTTTAACATCTCTAGCTAACGTTAGCTAAAGTTAGCCTAATATTAGCTCCTGCGTTGTTCATCATGTCACCTTGTTTGCTGGGAGTTCATTTTGTTCTAGTTTTTGTACTTTGGTGATCGTACATCATTGTTAGCTGTTGTCCAAAGGGCTATAGTTAAGCTAGCGTTAACTTCTGGAGCTTAGCTTCATTAACTTATCTGTAATTGCAGAGATAACAAAGGTTGGCAATCGTTATGCTGAATGATTCAATGTAAATACTGTAGCACCAAACTAACAGAGAGACACTCTTGGTAAAGATGGTAAAAAGGCCGTTATCCTTTTCTCATATTCTGAGCCAAAAACCTTAACTTCAGTGGCACTGTGATGCACCAAAATTTGATCGTTATGTCTCCAAAAATCATCAGTTGCCTCCTGCGAAATGCCGTGTACTGTGACACCTGCCATAGCGCCGGTCACTGAATGTTGATAGTTTGTCCGAGTGAGTGGAGGGGGCGTGGCTTAGCCATAGGTCAATTTGCACGGGATCAATATAGAACCCATGGACAATGCCATATGGGACCCAGTTTTCAGCCCATTTTGTACCCACTTGGGCCCGGGTCCATGTCATTGGTTCGACAGCCCATTGGTTCGACATCCCATTAGTCCGACTGTCCGCGGTGCTGAACGGCTCACGGTGGGCGTATGGTGCGCCGTGACTGGCTTGAGGCGGAGCAGGCTCACAGCTTATGTGTTTGCCACTTTCTTTTTCATTTTAACCCACACCATGATCTTTTCCTGACCCTAACCAAGTGGTTTTTGTGCCTAAACCTAACCAGACCTTAACCACAGGGCATCATGATGATTTCGGAACGGACTTAGGAACAATGAGTTTAATATGGTCGGAACAATGGGATGTCGAACCAATGGGCAGTTCCCCTTGGGCCCCACATACAAATGTTGGTTGGGTTGTTCATTCAATGTGTGGTTGATTCTGTAAATTCAATGTCTCTAATCAGTTTAAGACATTACTCACCTCAATTATGTCTATTTTACTCGAAATGTACATTTAACTGAATGCAGAATTATGAACAAAATTTTCTTCTTGTGATCCACATTTCCATCACAAATGATAATCTACCTTTGGATATTCAGGTAAATTACATGCATTGCATTTTGACTTCAGATCATGTTCAATAACCTGAGAAATGTCTTCTTTCCTATAGGGTGATACAGATTCTTTCATGTTTGTCTCACAGATAAAGACATTTGTTTACACTGTCTCCAAGATGTATTGATTTCCTGATTCCTCCTATGTTTTCTTCTATGTTGTTGTTTGCTAAACCTGATAATCCGTACAGGTATGACAGAAACACACACGCAAACGTGTCCCCTGCTGAGACCCACGTCACTTAGGTGCAGCCTGGAGAAGCATAACTCCGCTTTATGCATGCTGACATGTATTACTTTTGCTAAATCACGACATTTCCCCTTTTGTCCCAGTTCCTATGTATTAAAATCTTATTTATAACCACCCGTTTCACTGCAGCAGCTCCATGTGGTTGCCAGGAGATCTGTGATGCAACTGAAAAGCCTCTGTATGGATTGCAGTCGGTGCTCTGACAGCTGTGAGCATGTCCATGTATACACACATGTAGCATATACACGGGTATTTGTACGCATGTGCTTGTAAGTGTGCATGTCTCCGTAACCACTTCCACTATGGCGGCTGCGGGGCTTGTGGGTGCCGCTCTCCCAGAACCTTTAGCATAACCCTTTGCCTGTCTAAAAACCCCACAGTGGTGTTTGCATCTGCACATGTCAGACTGAAGGCCTGTGAGAGTGGCGGCTGCAAAGCCCACAGACGTATATTACTGCTTTTATCTGAAACAATCCCAGGAAAAAAATAAAAACACTCTCTCAAGGGACCTCAAACAGAAGAAGAGGTGGGAGTCAATTACATTACAGTGCTATCACAGTGGGAAAGGGAGCTCTGGACTTATGAGAGAGTGTGGATCGTATTGCAGGTAAATATGAGAGCTATTGATTTTGACTGCACTCACACCTACAGTAGAGCTCCCATCAACGGGGGCGACATCAACACAAGTACACCAGCAACTTCATATCATTTACATAATGTTTGTGTCATTCAGGGGCTGATGAGTCCCGTAACAGGAAGTTCATATCACATACTGCTGGAACTACATTATAAAACATAGCATACGATGGACCTGATGTAGGTGCTATGGAACTGATACCAAAGACAGGCCATGTGCTGCACATTGAAAGATGTCATGGTAAGCCAAAATCAATCGTAAATCGATTTTAAAATGAATGGAAATTAGGTTTGAGCTTAACGAACTGGCTACCTTTGTAGCCTGGATGTAAAATGGGGATATCTAAGCAGGTGTATCACTCAAACTCCTTCTCTAAAAGTGGCTGAAAAAGACAGTAAACTATAAGAACAGTCACATTTTACACACTCTTTTCTTATTCTGTATCATTCATCCTAAAATGGCCTTGCTCCTGTTCTGAACTACTTAAGGTGTGCTCGCAGGCTCTAGGCCCTTGACTCACCCTCTCCCTGGCAGGAGATACACTTTAACAAACGGGTCAGAGTAGCCATTGTTGTCCCGCGGGGAGAGGTTTCTAGCCTGCAGGACGTGGACGATCAAGTTGCCAAGCTGCTTGTCGTAGTGGATTTGAAGCTGTGGAAAGAAACACATTGAATTACAATGGATTCCAATGCATCCGTGGAGAGAAACAGTGTGAGAGAACTGTGTGAAACTCACTTTACTCCGTATATTTATTCAATGTAATGTTTTTTGAAATGCGGAAAGACACAGTAAAACTAACAGTGATCACATTCTGTACTACATCTAAAATATCAACTAAATTTAAACGTGGCAGAGCTCATCCTTTTGTTTCACAGACCTGGATCTCTCCGGAGACGGGGTGGGACTGGGTTTTCGTTCCCTCTGCAGTCTGTAAGAAATAAAAGCAACATGCTTAGATACCGCTGTAGGTGGATCTGGTGGGTGTTCATACTGTACACTATGTACTATATCTACTTTGCTGTGCTTCCTGCAGTGCTTGAGGCTAATCAAGTTAAACTCTTGATGCATGTTTTACTTTTTATTTTAGGTAAATTATAAGTGGTGAATTCTAACATAACAATTCTTCGCTAAATGTTATATTGATAATAAAAGAAGAGCTGTCCTATGAGGCAGATTTTAAAGGAGCTCTATGTGATTTTCAGAGCGTATTTATGATTCAGAGGTTGTCTGCACATGGTTCTCATCATGGAGGTGGCTAAGCCGGCAGCTAACGGTGCAAACAGCACTAACAATAGCAAAAGTGCTGACAGAGCTAACGGTGTTAACAGGTGGGGAACCAGAGGACAATTTTTTTTTGCTTGGATGGTAAAGGCATGACCCTCCCTCAAACCATTTCCCTCTGTGGAAACGAAGCTTTTATTTCCTTTAATTTCACAGATAAGAAACAATAAATTGTGAAGACAATAAAGCCTCCACAAAAACAGCATTTTAATTCTTGTGTGTGATTTATCCTGGCTTCATATGAGCAGAGGAAATCTCCGCTTGTTGCTAAGCTAATTTATACAATGTAAAATGCCATAGGCTTGTGCTAATAACGCTAGCATGTTATATTTGTTTGGAAAACATGTATAATGTATAAGACAGTTGTTTTGTAGGTGAACCTTGTGAGTTGTAATGGAGACGAATTTTGTAACGTTACCTTTGTTAAATGTTGCTGTTGTCCCTGGTTTTATATGAGTAGAGGAAATGTCTGCTAGCTGCTAGGCTAATTTATACAATGTAAATTGCCATAGGCTTGTGCTAAAAACATTAGCATGTTGTATTTGTGGGGAAAATGTGTCCAGATAAAGACAAGTGTTTGTCTGAGTTATAGTGAAGCTGATTTGTGTACTTGCGTTTGAAATTGTCTCTGTTAAGCCATGTTTAATGTGTGTTTAATGTGTGTTTAATGTGTGTTTAATGTGTGTTTTGAATCAACTAAACTTTACAGCACTTCACAGAAACCCCGCCACACTAGTGTTTTGGAGGTGTAACTGCAGAGTGACAAAGAGACACTCCACCGCACAAGTATAAATGCTCACAACAGTGTAGGCCATATGCGTCGGCTACGGTGTAGGCTCTGCTTAGCACTGACACGCAAGTATAAATCCTGCATAAAGGGGCTAAAATTCATGCGTTCAACCGGGTGTTGTGTTTCCATCAACGCTGATCAGAGCTGGAGCTGATAAATACTTGTGACTCCTGCAGTGTCATTTGACCAAGGTTTGAATGCTGATTGTAACCTTTCACATGACATAAAGAAGCCACATGTTAGCCGGTGTTAGCAGGTTTTTTGTACAGATGAAAAGCTGCTAGATTGGTAAAATGTCATGTGACAATCTGACATCTCAGACTGTTCATCAGCCTCTGATATAAAGCTCCTTTATCAAACCCTGTGTAATGTGTAAACAAATATGTTCCCCAGCTTTTATGTTTGAACTGGGAAAACAGGAAACTATAAATAGGAAATGAGTTTAAACAGTGATAATGGCTGCCAAAGCTCCCTGGGAACTGGGAAGTTAACAGTGTTGTAAGGACTAAATGGAAACTGCAGATGTATGAATAATGAGAAAGCAATTTGTCCAGCAATTCATAATGATACTGCACTTCAGGGATGTACTGTAAGGCGTGACGAAAACTACAAATTCTTAAAATGTTCATGCTCAATCTATTCTCAGCTGAACATGACAAACGGACTCGCCTTGCTGCTGTGGCGTTTCTTGCTTACGGACGGTGATCCTGGCTGACCGGGGCTGGAGGTCGCTGAGGTGGTGGGGGGCAGACCGGAGGAAGAGGTGGAGGTGGGAGCCTGCTGCTGGGACACCTTCTGCAGCTCAGCCGCCAGCTGCTTGGGGTCAACACCTGGAGACCTGGGAGGTCTGTCACCTAGAGGGAGTCACACCAGACACACAAGATCACCATTACGCATCCACAGGGAGAGGGCGACAGGAAACCTTTACAGGGTGGGAGCTCTTTTTAAAACAATCTAATAGTCCTAGTGTAATGCAGACAGAAAGAGGAAATAGGCCACCAGTAATACATGTCTGAGCTGGAGAAAAGAGAGAATTGTAGATGAAAGCATTATGACAAGAGAATCTAAAAATTGCAAGAGACAAAAGTTAATTGGGAAATACTGAGAAGGCAGAGACGGCAGTGGGGAGGAAGTGAGAAGCAGCATCACATGCTGGGATTGGAGTTATAAAAATACTTGAGCTTACTTTTGCTGTGCTCCTGGAAATCTAGGTGCTCTGAACTGTCTGACTCAGCCAGCATGTTGAGATCACTGAAACACAGGAAGTTAATGTGCCATATTATTATTCAAAGGAGAAAAAAAATAAGTAGAGGAAAACCGAAGGACATGCACTGTTCTTATGTTTTGATGTGAAAAGTAAATGCACAACAAGTCGTATATAACCCAGTTAATCATGAGCAAGTAATTCCTGTACAACCCATGTTATCAGGAAGGCTGCGATCATGTAAACCTCTGCCACCCGGGACTTTCCCCAGGAGACTGGTGTTCGGATTCATCTGAAATCTCGAGTGCTTTCAAACCTCCTACAAAGTTGCCTAGAGTCGGTTCGTGTTCTCACGGCAGCATTTACAAGCGGACCAGATCAAATGTCTTGCGCGAGAAAGCTGCTCTTGATTGGTCAGAATTTCCATGCAGGAAAAATCCAGGAAGTAAACAAAACGTTGAAGAAGAGTACACTTGCAAGATAAATGTGACAATTTCTAATGTCACAATGGAGGGACAACTACTCAGGTTGATTTTAGCGCTGCTCATCGTGGACTATATTGCTGTCATTGTTCATTTTAGTCAAACCATACAGTTTGAAAACGAGGCGCGGCTCCAACTAGAAAACAATGTTTTGATGCATTGGATGTGCTGAATGTGCATATTAAGGCAGTACAGGAGGAGGTGCACATTAATAATCCTCCAGGACTGTAACATGCTCATGTTTAACCCAAACAATGTGTCATGTGACAGCAGTTGGTTCAGATCCAGGTCTGAACACGTTCTCACCACAAACGAACCGCACCAGAGTTCATTTGTAACCGGACTGAGACCACCTCTTCAAGAAAGTCTCAATCCGGTTGTTTTGGCGCGCACCTGAGTGTGATTGTTCACACCTGCCCAAATGAACCGCACTTAGGGGGCAAATGAACCTGAATTCAACTGAACCGAACCAAACAGGGCAGGTGTGAAAGCACCCTTAGGGTACGTTATCACCATGTTTCTTTCTCCTATGTGACTTTACTTGCCGAAAGCCTGGTTTACAGTTTTGTTGTGTGTCCATATTTCCGTACAGTATACAGTGTGCAACCATAGTGTTCAGAGAAGGGAAATGCATCTCTTTTTGGACGTATAGAAACGAAGAATAAACGAGACATAAACCAAACCTACACGACTTTACCGTAAGTAGCCTGAGTGACTTTAAGTTAAGTATGTAACGTCATTCAAGGGGCGTTAATTAATTTGCGATCATAGGAACCATTAAAGGCGCTGTATGTAAGAATGTGGCCAAAACGGGTACTGCACTCAAATTCAAAATACTGCCGTGAGCCGTGTCCGCCCCCCCCTCCCCTACAGATTCGAGGTTGCTGGACAGCGTCACGCTGGAGACTGATTTGTTTGCCCACGGGCGGCTGCCGTGGCAGGGCTGCGTCGCCGCGTCCTTGATCTTCGGTTTTCCAGCTGACCGTTCGAGCAAGTCCAGTTTCTCTGCTGCTAACGCTGCTGCCAGGATACAGCTGAGGAGGAGCCGGCTGCTAATGCTATGTACCGGGACACTGCTAATGCTGCTTGCCGTGCTGCTGTAGCTCAGTCATAACTGTAACTGATTCTGAGACTCTACTGACTGCATGACTGGTAGACGGCGGTGGGTGGCGCAACAGGCCAAAACACAAATTCAAAACATAAACATGATTTGCGTACCGTAAAAACGTTTTTTAAATGCAAATATTCTGGCTGTACTATTGTTGTCGGTGAGATCAGTATGTTATATGAACATTATTCCTTAGTCTCTGTGACATATTAGGATGATTTTATGACTACTTGCTTTAGATTTCTTACATATAGCTCCTTTAAGATAAGATAAGGATACAATGGATGAAGATGAAGACAAGGAAAACAGGACTGATTAGTTAACTCAATCAGGGTGGGCAGAGTTAGCAATCATGACCTTACTTTGAAATATTGAAAATGAGAAATCAGATTATATTTTAAAGGTGGATGTTTTGTAGAATTGAATGTGTAATTTGGAATATTAAGCTTTTGCAAGTCATGATAATGAATGGAAAAAAGAAAAAAATAGTACAGGGAGACATCAGGGAGATAACGAGACAGGAAATGTAAGAGATGCAATAATGGGTGATGATTACAGTGAAAGAGTGATGCTGAAGGAAATAAAGAAATAACAGGAGGATGAGTACGACAAACTAAAAATAGAACGCAGGAGAGAAAGATAGAAAGTGACAAAGATTATACTCACAGTCTGACACACACTTCTGCTTCATTGCACGGCTGCCCAACGAGCCCTTGCACCTCTTCGTAGGTTTTCCCCGTCAGAAGAACACCATTCCACTCCAGGACTTGCATTCCTGTACACAAGTATTTACACACACAAGGAAACAATCAAAAATACAGTACACTGAATGTCTGAAGCAAATGTTTCACCTCAAACCAAAACCAAAATCTTGAAGTGAGCAGACAAAGATCAATTCATAAGGATGGGGAACAGATCAGGGTCTAACATCCATCCCTTGATTAGATTCACAGGGAAAAAACAAGCTTCTTGTACTCAAACGTCGTATGCATCAGACTGCAAGCCAAAACTGGAGCTATAAATGCTGCTGACAGCCCAAACAGCAGCTGTGTGACAAAGCTGCTCGTGGAGCGTTCGGGCGCAGAACTGGGTTAAAAGGAATGTGAAATTGACCTCATGTTATTTCAGCTAAAAAACTATCATTAACAGGACAACATTTTAAATATGATGCATTATGGCCTGGGAAAAACACAGAAAACCAATAAGATGCTAGTTTCAAGTCAAGCAAAAGACAAACGGGCCATTTATTTATATTTAATACAGCAGTGAGAGCTCATATGAATCCACACGGCACTGCAAACACACGGCATCCTCCAAAACACACCCTGCCCACTGTCAGGACTTACACGGATTGAAACAGCTCATCAGGAGGGTCCGTTTGCGACGATACTCTCGAGCTGCATGTGTGAATGACAAGAGAAGCTACTGTAGTTTCTCCATGTTATCATTCATGCCAACTCAATCGCCAGAAAAAAATGTTGGCATTGTATGTTTCTGCATATGCATATGTTACATCTGCATGTTAATATGTACAGTTAACAACCCTGTGGTTCAACACATTCTCACTCCCACCTCGTCACATATCAACATTTGGTCATGGATGTTCCACGTCCAGATACGACATGGAAGGTACCCTGGGCGCGTTGGTTGTTGATGTTCTGGGACGCTGTATCAAGTTCTGCCTGTTACATGCATTGTCTTCTTTCAAGATACACTTTCGTTAATAAATGCACTACGTCAGTACAACAACGCAAATTGATGTTTTTTTCCCCCCCAACATCTAACGCACGTGGTTAGGTTTAGGCAACAAAAACATGTGGTTAGGTTTAGGAAAAAAAAAACAGGGTTTGGCGTTATGATCTTACAGGACACAAACACCGCTCTCCTGGGTGAAAGTTGCTGCTGGACCCACCCACCACCACTCCAGCCCGCCCTTCTCAGACTTTCGCCGCCTTAACTTTCATTCTTGTCTCACTGTGTTCCCCCCGATGCTGCCAAGTGCCGTTAAACCCCTGGCATCTGGTCGCGTATGATGCTGACGTTTAAGGACGGCTTCTTTTGTCAGTGTCTGACTCAAGTCACTGCAAAGATGCCAGATTTTGACGACTCTGGGGTGAGTCCAGGCTCTGTGGTTTATGTGTGGTAGGTTTAGGCACATAAACCACTTGGTTATGGTTCAGAAAAGATGTTTTGGCTTAAAACACCCAGCAACATCTATGCAAAAGCAATCACTTTTAGAAGCTGCTGGAACAAGTGATGGGTCGCTACAAAACCCCCACCTTTGGCACCTAAAAAGCTGCTGGGAATAAAGCAATGACTCGCTAAATCACAACCTGTTTTGTTGTTGGTCTCGAACAGTGTTCTGCAGTGGTCTACAGCTTGATCGGCATCTTGTCTAGGTGTCATTCCATCGACCATCCCCTCCACCTCCACGTGAATAAGACAGCTTATATATTATGTAATGTACAGAACATAATGTAATGTTTCATGGTTTGGAGAAACATACAATGCCAGTATTTTCTTCTGCCGACTGAATTGTCACACTTTATTGTTGAATGTGAGTTACAGTTTGCACAAATTTAAAGAGACTTGAACTCTGGTGATCAGAAAAACAGGCATGTATTCATACACTTAGCGTCCCTCTGTGACAGTAAGCCTCTGACAACATTTCTCCATATTCACACCACGGAGGGTGAGGCGCCGTGTTCCCACTGGCGGAACCAAAGTACTTTGCAGCCATTCTGCTCAGTGTTGATGACAGGGTTACGGCTGTTATCATGGTTGAGCTGTCCTCGCAGCTAACAACACCGCAGATGCATCTTGACTCTTGGACTGCGGCGATCATGAACAGCCTCGGCCTATACCTTTGACTTGTGTCTGTACATGGAATGACAATGTGTGAGACAAGCACAGAGAGGGCTGGACGACAACTGCAGAGACAGAATAAGATGACAGTGAGACGTAGCAAAGGATTATAGCAAGAAGCAGGGTAGAGATGCATATGAAACTTTACTGACCCAAATGTTTCCTTGAGTTTATTAGAAGGAAATTATGCTTAATTATGGGTGGGCTGCTTTGAGTGACAGGCTGTCTGTCAATAGTGTCCTTGGCTTCTTAGTCAGATCCACCCCTAGCCCCTCCACTGCGACCGTCTCTTGTCCAAATATGGTCACTTCTGGCTCAAAAAAAAAACAAGACAGCGACAGCCAAAATGCCTTTTTGGTCCACAAACCAATGGATGACGTCTCGGTAGCTATGTATATTAGTTTTATGGTCTGTGGTCAAGAAACTAAGTGTTGATGATAGTAAAAAATCTCTTGCTCTTAAAGGATAGGGCAAGTAGTTAAATAAAACCAATGACAGTCTAGCTTACTTAATGGAGAAGTCCATGGTATAGGTTGGCAGTCTGAAAAGAATCCGAGGCACTCTGCTTTTTCCTCATGTTTGATTCCTTGGTTTTTCACTCTGCTTGGATTGATGGGCTTTTCTGTGTTTTCCCTGAATGGATTTATCTGCCTTTGCCAACGTGTACGACCCCTGACCTCCTCAGTTAAGATTTGGATTCGAGAAACGGTTCTTGACGTTCGTGTTTCTCTCTGCATATGGGTACCAGTTATGTACTAAATCGTTACATACAGGGCCTGGAAAGTGAACATTCCTATAAAGGGTGAGGAAGGTGTACTTTCAAAGGCTAATGAGGAATCACCCTAGATAATAAATGTCCAAAGCCATATCAACAACAGTACTGAACACTGAGAGGAAGGTATAATGTAAAAATACACAGAATAAATCACCCTCAGTAGAGTCAGCACCTCCAAGATGAGACCATGGTCCTCTGTCGGAAACTGGTGGTTTGCCCTGTCCAGGTTGGGAGAGAGTTACTGCCTCAAGCGAGGGAGTTCAAGTATCTTGGGGTCTTGCTCACGAGTGAGGGTAGAAGGATTAGCGGGATGGTGTGGCTTCTGCAGTGATGCGGGCACTGCGCCGCTCTGTCGTGGTGAAGAAGGAGCTGAGCCAGAAGGCAAAGCTTTCAATTTACTGGTCCATCTACATCCCAACCCTCACCTATGGTCATGAACTCTGGGTAGTGACCGAAAGAATGAGATTGCGGATACAAGCGGTGGAAATGACTTTCCTCCGTGGGGTGGCTGGGCTCAGCCTTAGAGATAGGGTGAGGAACTCGGACATCCGGAGGGAGTTCGGAGTGGAGCCGCTGCTCCTTTGAGTCGAAAAGGGTCAGTTGAGGTGGTTCGGGCATCTGATCAGGATGCTTCCTGGGCGCCTCCTGTTAGAGGTGTTCTGGGCACGTCCCACTGGTAGGAGGCCCCGGGACAGACCCAGAACACGCTGGAGGGATTACATATCTCATCTGGCCGGGAACACCTTGGGGTCTCCCAGGAGGAGCTGGGAAGTGTTGCCAGGGAGAGGGACATCTGAGGTGCTTTGCTTGGCCTTGGTCGCCCCCGCGACCCAGCCCCAGATAAGCGGATGAAAATGGATGGATGGATGGATGGATGGATGGAATACTTATCCATAACCATAACAGCAACAAGAATATGAGATGCAGAGGAAGAAAGACAAAACTACTGATGTTATTTCATATTGAACCAGGAGTGATTAATCCTCATTAAGCGATAGAAAGCTAATTTTTCATACTCATTTTAAAAGATTTGTTCTGTATTGGGTTTTGTTGACACTCCGGCAGCGTGGCTCCTGGGATGGTAATGTTGAACAGGTGTGGATTGCTGTGAAATTTGCTACAGATTGCTGTGAAACCTATTGCACATATTGGAGGTCCTCAGAGAAGAAATTCTAATAACTTTTGGGATCCTCAGACTGTTCATCTGGCACCATCACGATGCCCGAATTTGAATCTGCAATACCTGCAAAACTAATAACGTTCCTGCCAGCCTCAGCTGCGCTTTGTGTTCGGTGCTAATTAGCAAATGGCAAATGTTAATATGACGAACGCAGTGAACAACGCCTGCAAAACATCTGCATGTTAAAACATTGCTCGTGTTAGCATTTAGCTCAAAGCACTGCCGTGTTTAATTAGTAGATGTATCATTTTACAACAGGGATCTCGTAACTTCCACTATGTTGTAAAAAGCCCCAATATTTCACAATGGTTCCCAACTGGATTTGTTTTATTTGTATTTTTTCATTAAGAAGTTTTTACTGGAAACATTTTAGAATGTCCTGATACAGACGTAGAGGGAGGAAAAGAAGAGAAAAGGCAATGTGAAAGGAAAAAAAGGAAACAGAGGGAGAGACAAACAAGAACAGAAAGTGCGAGGAGATTTGCCCACGCTCACACACACACACACACACACACACACACACACACACACACACACAGACAGATGGATAGCACACTACCCAGGTCCAAACCGAGCCATAATTCTCCCTCTCCCTATCTCACCGTCCATAGATCACCAGCGTGGCGGCCTCAAAAAAGCGCAGGGCACAGCTTTACTGATTGTCTGACGCACTTGATGTGGCTCAACATGGAGATTAAAGGGGACTGTGAGCAGACAGATGGACTGGGAGGGTGAGAGAGGGTTAACTGTTCCCAGACTCCCCCATGTGAAATCAATACCACCTCATGAAATGTGTTCCCGTTAATATACCACACAGCAATTTATCCTGAGGTGGCGTCAGTGAGAGGTGTGTAAGGGTGAACTCACAGGTCATACATCTGTGGGTTAGTGCGCAATGGGCACATGGTGAAATAGCTAACTGTGGCAGCTGGAGTTTCGATCGTCTGTATATGAAACAGAAGTAGAAAGTCCGAGAACAGTCTAGGACATAAGCTCTTGTAAAACCACATTGTGATGTTTTTAAACTTTGGTATTTGTATGAATCAAATAAAGGAGATATACCACACTGCATGGCAGGTTTTGATATGTTTCCTTAGACAGATCGAGGTTAGTATCCCCTGTTTACAGTCTGTGTTAAGCTAAGCTCATCTTCATATTTAACGTCACCCAGTCGTCAGAATAAATTTTGGCATTGTACATTTTTGCAAACCACAGATACACATTTGTACGTTTCATTTGTTGAATTTGTATGTTTCATATCTAGCAGATACCTGTTGCAGCTCATTCCCTCTTCCAACTCTTCAAATACTGACGCTTGGTCTATGACCCTCGCCTGTAGACACCAATGCACAGAGACAGTCTTAGTGGTATTATGACACGCCAAGGAGCAGCAGCACTTTCTGGTGCAACTACTGTAGTATAAAGAGTGAGAAAGTTTGCATAAGGTGGAGAGAGCACACCTCTCTGCCCTTCCACGCGCTTGCATGAAAAGACATAAGGCAAAGAGAGCACACCTCTCTGACCTTCTGTATGCTTATGTGGAAAGCCTGAGGCAGAGAGATCAAACCTCTCTGCCCTTCCATGCGCAAACAAGGAAAGCCAAAGGCAAAGAGAGCACACCTCCCTGCCCTTCCATGCGCCTACATGTAAAGCCTATGGGAGGAAGAGCAGCAGCAAAGACCCCCCAGGAACAGAACAGAGCAGCATCAATGACAAACAGAAATGACATTGATAAGTCAGACACAGCGTGAAAAGGAGGAGCTGGGGTGGAGGCGGGTTGCAAAGCAGCTTGCAGAGGAAGCAGCAACAGTAGGCAGGCCAGAGCAGTTTAAATAGGGCGCCCTGAATGAGATTCACTGGTTGGTTGCATAGAAAGGAATCATGTGATCTATCAGCTGACTCCCTTCCATCAATCAGCTGCTCCATCAGTTGATAGGGCAGTTTGAGATCAGCTGATGTAGCTGGGATGTGAGCTGAGTTTGTCCTGCCTGAACTAACGCTATGCTCAATGTGTTTTAGGTAAATTCATTTTGAAAAAGACTGCATGCATTTATGCATTTGTGTCCCTTAACATCCAACACTGACACAGGAGGCTACCTAGCGTGTCATATTTTGACGTGTCAGGCCGCTGACCATGCGCTGTTATCATCATCATTAAAAAACAGCCTGTTTTGTCAGCTTTTTTTGTTTGTTGGTCTCATCTGCTGCCATGTGCTGCCATTTTGCCGAGGTGTCACATCAAAAATCCCTCCTCCCTCTTACTTGGCTCATACACATGTAACCTGAACTATCTCACTTTTGAAATGTCGACATGATTGATATGAAACGTACAAATTTAACTGTGGTTTACAAAAACATTCAATGTCAAGATTTTATTTCGGTGACTGGGTGGCATAAAACCTTGCAAAAGAAAATCCTTTCTGGTTGATTTTCTTTATATCTAGCCAACAAATTATGCTGATTTTTAATTTATTGTAATTTATTTATTCATTCATTTATTTATTGCACAAGGGGAAGTTTAATTTGGCAACAGAGCTTACCTTCGAGAATCTTCCCTGTTTGTTCTGCAGCTCCTCCTGGTAGCACTTTGGCAACGTAGGCTCCGATGTCTCCATTACTGCCTGGGACCTCTTTCCCTCCAACTACACGGATACCCAGACCATTTCCTGCTTAGGACCAACAACAAAGAAGCGGCATCATTAATTAGTCTATAGCATCATTGGCATTTAGAAAGAATTATAAAGTATAGACACATATATAGTCTACCCTATGAAGCCAAAACACATTGACTACAATGGGGCTAATGAAAGGTGTACAGTTGACCTTAAGAGTACAACAGTTAATACACGTTATATGTATTTACATGAAAAATAAATGTATTTTTATAGTTGTTGTAGTTCAATGTGCCATCTGATACCAACCCCACTAACCGACCCCTGCTAAATGTGCTAAGTTTTGGCGACGGAATAAGGAACGCTGCCATTTAAAAAAAAAAAAAATGCTGTATTCAAATATTTCTGCATACTGGGGTCCCTATACTGTCTTTAAATTACATAACTTGTGTATGACTGGAAAACGGAGTTGACAGCCTTATACTCTTTATACTATTTCAGATCTGCACACAGTTTGACCAGTATTTAATTTAAGTAGCCTCAAAATAAAATTAATAAATTAAGAAAACAATTAATTGTTCACCCCTAAATTGAACTATTGATTAAATACCATGCAGTCAATATTTAATTTTTCTTTTTTGTGACTACCTCTGCTTTCTAAAAAAGAAAATAAGGCCTTAACACAGAGTAGATACAAAATACATGTGGAAATATGATTAATTGGATTATATTTGCAGCCACTGGGTGTGGATGAGGGGCCCACTTCTGAAAATGTTGTCCCCCTGCCCATATTTCCTAACACTAGCCTGCCGATTATTCACAAATCCCTCGACAGGTCACACATAAAGAACTTCACCTACACAGAGGCACAACCCCCCCTTCACTTTTTACACTATTTAACACGGTTGTGGAAGCAAGAACAAAATGACTGAGGCAAAATGACTCAGTTCAGCAGCGGGTCCTCGTAAACAAAACGCTTCCTTTGTGGGCTGTCTGTTAATTGCGTAAGATAATCCTGAGTGTGAGGGATACGCCATTTTGAGCATTTGCAATGACTGATGAGCGTGGAAAAGAGCCAAATCAAAAGGGAAGCCAGGAAATGAAATGTCTGCCTGCTTTGAGCCTGGAGGAATGGTGTGATGGAACGTAATGGCAGGGGAAGTGACTCGCCAGTTTGTTGAGATCTGGCATGAATATCAAGCAAACAGAATGCATGATGCACACTTGTCATGCTCTGCGGAGCTAATGGGACGTCATGATCCATATTAATGTGTACTTTTTACTGTCTTCATCTTTATTTTGAATCTATTTCACGATCATTTAAATTCAATCGGGGGAAACAATGCGCATGCTGTAAACAGTGCATATTTGATGCAGTCAGTAAGCAACGGGGTCAATAAAATCTGATGCATGCATCACTGTCAATAATGCATTAGCTTGTAATACATGCCTCTTTAAATCCACATTATCCCACTCTTTGCATGCTGCTTTTGTTGTTAGTGGATGAAACGTAGTAAAGTGTGGTACTGTACCTGAGACACTGCGATCTTTGGGATCCCTCTGCAGTTTGACCCTGAGGTGAGGGAAGGGGTAGTACGGGCCTTTTCCCTGTGGCCCATACACAATGGTGAGATGTCATGTATGTACAAGGTAAATGGGAAACAGTTCAGTATGGAAGCTTTGCAACATGGACATATATGCGGCATTTAAGTGCCTCGCGTTATCATGAGCGTACATACCACATATAGATATCCACGTGAGTGTGGATGCATGCAACAGTACATGTGAGAACTTGACATCAGTATATGCTTGTGTTTTTCCCCCCCTCTTTCACCTGTCTCTTCTCTTGTCCGTTCTCTGGCCGTCCGTCTCTTGGCTTGTCAAACCAGTCTGTCTCCTCTCGTCTAAGATGGTAGGCTTCAGGGATAAAAACAAGCACGACTTTAGAGCCAATCTGAGGAGACAATCCATCACACTCTATAGGATGGGTGTCTTCACTTCATATAAAGGCTAATAATTGCCGTTAAGCAAAATTATAGTCATAAAAAGTGTAGTATACTAATCAAATAATAAAAACAAAAATAAAAAAGAGGAAAAAAGGGGCATAAAAAGAAGTATTTAATTTTCTTGTGAAAAGGGGAAAGGATGCCAAGCAACACATTTTTCACAGATATTATAAAATAAGCAGAAAAATATGCAGTTCAAGAGTAAATAAAAACAGTATTAGTACAGTAGCATAATCTAAACCTTTGGTGCAGTAATTTTCTCTAAATGTAAATGTTAGCTATGTCTTTTAATAAATTGTTAGTAAAATTAGTGTTTATTCATTGAAAGTTGTTTTAACCGTTGCAAATTAAGGTGGTATTTATTCCTTATTTGGTCATCATTTCATGGTGATTATGGTGCATTTGTGTGGTGCAGGTTAATGTGTTAATAGCTAATACATGACTAGAGAACTGAACTAATACTCTACCATTGGTCGCATCGTCTCTGTTCAAAGCCACCAGGGAATCACTTAGGGCTGGAATCAAGGCAAATGGGTTTATATTGCAAAATGATGGGTTCCAAATTTCTTAACAAATAGTTATGTTGCATTCAAGACTCCTCATATCACTTTATTAAACAATGGTTCCTCTATTAGAATCTGAACTTACTAACACTGTCACATTTTGCATCCCTTTTCAGGACTGAAATGCTCTCAGCTCGGAGACTAATCAAGTCGTTGCTGCGTAAGTGCCCCATAAAACACATTAAATAATGTGATAAAGTGGTTTTAGTAATAACTGGAGTACGCATCAACAATATATTGCATGTAAATTAAATTGATGGTTTATGGTTTTTACGAGGCAAAACAGCAGTAAACTGAGATCTACCCAAAATTCATGTTCTTGCTTAATTAAAAAAAAATTCAAAAATATATATTTTATATAAAAACAGTGTCCTCTGGGGGAAAAAGAGAAAAAAATGGAAAAATCTAAGTACATGTTTGCTCAGCAAATTATCATTTCAATAGTGTTCTTGTAATATTATCATTATTGTTTTTTTATCAAATTGTTTCCTTTTAAAACCAAATATACAGAAAATGCAATACAACCTTTAGGAAATTCAGTTCAAGGATGTTTTCACACTTGGTCCTTTTCAGCCCTCTAAGCAGACTCAGACACATTTTTTAAGGCATATGTAAACACTCCAAGAGAACTCAGACCCCTTTGAAGTGAACCAAACTCAGACCACCCCCTTCAAGTTCATGGGGAGGTTCACTTAATCTGTGCCATGTGAACACAAAGCGCTCCAGGTTCACTTCACACTGCTCTTTGCCATTGTATTTAGCCCTCTAGATCACAATCTACTGCACTGGGACGCTTGGAAAAACAGACAAAACCATGTTGGCTTGTAATGCTTGCAAGGACGCAGGACAAGGAGTAGTTTGGTCCACAGAAGAAAGTCTCCAGATGTGGAATGTACAACACGTCAAACGGCAACAGTGTACAGCAGAGAAACGCTAAGGTTTTCCTCCAATTTTAAGTTCAACTAAAGGGGAGGGGCGTCATAACTGCAATGCAGTGCTACGTCAAAGTAAAAAAAAAAAACTACTGCTGTGTCTCAAATCACATACTTCCATTAGCACACTTCCATGTAGTATACTATGTGCACTATGTACTTATTGGCGTAGAGTGCAAATTTCGACAGGGTAGTGTTGTCTCAAACCAAACAAGGCTGTTGTGCACTCACTGGAATGTGACGACTGCAAATTAGCGAGTTAGCAAACTAGCATTAGCATTCGCGTTATCGTTCGTGGTGCCAAATCATTACAGACTGCTAAATTAACCCAATAAACACTGCTGGCTCATACCCGACAACAGTATAGTGGTGCTTAGTGCAAAAAAACACATGTATTTGTACAATGCAGCGACGTTCACGGTTGCACAGTCCTCGGCCCCCATTTCCAGTTTGAAAAGTGGTCCCTCCCCTTCTACTACGTAGCTAAAATGGCGACCATTGGGGGCGAGAAGTGTCCATAGTTCCACAATCAACTTCTTGACCGTTTTGAGTGCACCATCCGGGTACTCATAGTGCACTGCATTTTTCCGTACTCCTCAGTGTGAACGCACTTATGCACTCAAAATACTAAGTGTAAGTACAGAAGTGCGCGATTTGAGACACAGCATATGTCAATATATAGTGGAAACAGAAAGAGGACTGAGGCCCCATTAGAGCTGAAGTTGACCAGAAAGAGAACAGAGTCCTCTGAACTGAGTCCCTTTTCTGTTGGTCCACTTTTTGCGCCACTGTAATTGGACTGAGTTTGGTTCATTTAAAAAGGACTATATGTGAAAACACCCTAAATAAACTGTTCAAAAAGGTTAATATGGCATAAATGTATTCCATGCAACATAAAGACATCGATGTATCACAATACATACAAGCAAGTATTCACGACAAGACATGCAAGTTAAAGTTGTATATTTATTACACACATATAACTGTTGCAAACAGATACCATGCATTTCAATAAAGTATGACAGCATCCTGATTTAAAGGTCCATTGTGTAAGATTAAGGGGGATACATTGACAAATATGGGATATAATATTCATATCAATGTTTTCATTAGTGTATAATCACCCAAATCTAAGAAATATTGTATTTTTCGTTGCCTCAGAATGATTTGCTTATATCTGCATAGGAAGGGGGTCCTCCTCCATGGAGTCCACCATGTTGTTTCTACAGTAACCCAGAAAGGACAAACCAAACACTTGCTCAAGATAGGGCCGTATTGTTTTTTTTGCATTAGCCACAGTAGTTCTCCACATGCATGGCACACAGGAGAAATTTCAGTTGGACACTAGATGGCACTAAATCCGACACGCTAGCCCTTTAAATTATTGTCTTTTAGTAAGGGTCATCTTGCCTATCGTTTAGTATCATAACAGTTTAACCCCTAGATATATTTATACACTTTAATATTATGTAAGTAAAGCAACACTAACCACCAGTAAAAGAACTGGTTTAACTGAGAGATATCTGTACCAATTATGTAAATTGTGTAACTGGGGGAGGCACTTTTTCAGTTTATCATTTGTGTGGGGGAGAAAGTTTCCAAAATCTGACCTGAATTGTGAAGGATTTTTTAAGCCTTATATGCTTAACAAGCAGAAAATGAAAGACCGTGAAAATCTTTAAGTGTTGAAAGAGCTACAAATGACAGCATGCAGACTACCACAAGTGAGCAATTGCTATTTGAGGAGGGGAACCTCCCACACAATGTAGCTGTAACAGAAAGTTAGACTGTGCGGTGTCATGCAGTGCACTAATATAGGAAAGTGTTACACAATATCTGGAATGCAGATGGAAACACAGTACATGCATTAAAATACATTCAAGCAAACCCTATAAGACATAGAAGTGTACAAAGGCATGCATGCACACTATATCTCAACTAAGTGACCACAAGTACTGACACCAGAAAACAAAAAGAGGATACATTCACCAGAGTTAAGGTTAGACACATGCAGACTTTGAATAAACACACAAAACCTAAGTATTACACACATTAGTACTGAATGCAAGCAAGACAAACCATAACCAGACACTCTCAAGGATGAGATATTAAAAAGGAAAAGAGCGACAGTGTGACAAGTCTGTTTTTTACCTTCACTATCTGACATGGTGCCCTGAAGGTCATCCAGTAGCACATAACCCCTACCCCTGGTTGGCTCTTCCCTGATATGTTGCTGCTGGGAGTCCTGCAACGATAAGCAGGAACCAAACTGGTCCCTTGAATCAGCTGAGATGGGTGGCAGAGGTCCCGCTGACGCACGGGCCATGCCCATAGGCTGCCCTACAGGGCTCAATGGACTCTCCTCCTCCGAGTTTTGGGCCACTATGGGTATTCGACCACGACCACTTTGCACAATGGGAAGGCTGGTGGGTTTGGTGCGACCAGATGGGGTTTGATAGCTGGGTACATCTCCGGATGTTTCGCCGTCCCCTTTAAGCCTCAGTGAGGAGCTTGAGGGGTCTCTTTTGATAGACAGGTCCAAGCCATAGCAGGATGTGGGCCTGGATGAGGGTCTTGAGCGACTACCGCTAGGATAGGCAGAGTCCAAACCCAAGCTCTGGCCCAAGTTCAGTGACCCAGCCAAGTTGGCACCCAAGGTGGACCCTAGGTATTTTTGTTGCTCAGCAATATTCTTACGAAGGCCGAAGGTAATCTCATCTTGCGAGAGCCGGCTAGATCTTGCCGATGCACTGGTTGACCCAAGATAGCTGGTATAGTCTGTCTCCAAAGCTCTGCTGTCTGTCATAGAAGAATACTTTGAAGAGATCTTAGGATCTAATAATGGAGTCTTGTGTTTTTGGTACAACATGGATGCTGGGAGTTGTTTAGCTGCTTGTTTCTCAAGAGTAAGTCGACTGATGCTGTACTTGTCTGTCTTTGGATAGTGTCTTTGGGAGTAACCAGAGATGCTCGAGCTTGGGGTATAGTAGTGCTGGGAGAGGCCTGTCAGTTGTTCTAAGTTTTCTGTCCCACCTGTACTTCTCCTAAACTCTTGCTTGAGCTGCTGCTTCAGGAGTTTCAGTTCATACGGCTCCTCCATTGTATCCTCTTCATCAGGGGTCTTTCCAAAAGTATGGAGTCTAGAGGTGGATCCCAGATAGTCAGTAGACCCCAGATCTGCAGCACTCCTGCGCAGCAGCTTCTCTGCCTTGGCCAACTCCCTCTCAGCCAGACTGTAAGATGAAGACAGACCTGTGGAGCCCTTAGCCAGTTCTGCAGCATCTTCCAGCAGCATGTAACTCCGAGGTGTATGGTGATCTACATCTGTGTAATAGGAATCGGAGACAGCTGACATGGGGCTACGTGCTATACTTCCCACTTCCAAGGCTCTGAGGTCAAGGTGGTTGCCATATTTGTCATACTTGACTCCCAGGTAAGCTGATGATGTGGGATCAGGTTGGCGGCTAATGACATCATACTTGGTTGCATCCAGCTCTGAGAGGAGGGCGGCTTGTCTGGCGGCTTTCTGCTGCAACAGGAGCATCTGGTGGTAACTCTGCTGCTGGGAGCTAGTGAGCGATGGGACAGAGGAGTAAAGAGAATGAGATTGGTAGGACTGGGTAGGTTGGTAGAGAGACTGCTGGTATTGGCTTTGATTGTATTGGTACTGGGAGTATTTTCCATACTCATGCTTGGTTTGAGGTGGGACAAAGTCATCCAGTTCTGACTGGGGAGCTGTCCTGGGACGTTCAAGACCATGACCTTCAATCTCTTCATCTTCACCAGCTCCAAGCCCACCTCTTGTCTCTCGGATGTTACTAACCTCACTGTCCGACATGTAGTCTCTGTCCTCTGCAACACTCTGTAAATAGGCCCTTTCCCTCTTCTCTCTTTCCTTCAGCAGCACATCTTTTCTACGATTAATACCCATCTCCAAGTACCTAAGCTTGGCATCAATCTCTTTCTCTTCCTCATCTAACTCTGCTTGTCTTTTGCGGAGCTTGGAAGACTCACGCTCCACCAGATCTAGCTCACGATCAATGTCTTGCAGGATCTTGGCACGTGCCATGTTGGAATTGCGGCACATTCTTCTGCGGGCCGAGCCAGTGCTGTATGCCGTCTGGCCAGTCGTTGTTGACTCATCCTCTGATGGTGGATTGGGGAGAGTTCTCTTCACCTTCTTTTGAGTGCCTGTTGGTGTGCCACCTGAGCTTTTCCCCTGTAGGAGGAGTAAACAAAAAACTGATTAGGAATTCAAACAGGTTTCTTAATCCTCAAAATAAATGAGGCAGCTGGTTATGTGTTCCAAAGAATTTGAAAAATGGCTTTCTCTGAACCACATTACTCAGATAAAATTAACCTGAGATGACTGCTAAGGGCATCAACTAAAGCCATGACTATAAATTAGGATATGACCATGGTGTTTTTGAGTGTATGAAAGGTTATTGCAAAACACACCTTTTGTGCATCCCAGTAGAATATGTATTCCTGCCCCTAAAAGTTACCCACTACTCACTAAATTGCACATGCCTAAGTTTGGTTTAAAAAAGTAATTTATTCACATTAAGCCTCTGTGGATCTCTGACAGCTCAGTATTTTTTCTGCAAGCTCAGCTCATTTCCCATCCTTTTATGTATGAGATTCTCACCAGTGAATTGCCCAGGCAGAAAACTGACTTCCATATTCCATGAGGGCCAGGAGCAACATGGATACCTAAGTGGGTATATGTAACCTATTCAGTTGTTTCATATACTTCCCTTTGTGTATACTTTTCCCTCTGTATATCCACAAACAAAATGAAATAACAGCTTGCTTGTTTTGTTTACGTTACACACAATAAAGTAAGGATGCATAATGTAATACACTACTTCTAAGGCTGGCTGTGTGGTGAAGAAAATAGCAGCAGTATACCAAGTGACAGTGTGGTGTTCAAGCTTCTTCATGCAAACATGGAGAGAACATGCAAACTCTTGCTGTGGGGCAGGATAACTAACCATTGAGACATCATGTCACTTGCGCTACATGAGCATGACATGACAAAGAATGGTTTCATTTGTGTTGCAAGACGCTTGACTAACCATTAGTTTTACATGGAGCAGTGATTCTTGGAATGTATTATTTCACAGGACAATTATCTGAAAACTGAATTTCTATGAGGAATAAGGTGTTTTTGTCTTGTTTCATGTTTGAAACAGACAAATATTTACTCATGTATGAGTAAAACAGTCAAATTCAAAGGCTAAGAATTGCCGTGCTGCCACTTTTTTTAATGCCATTATTTCAAGATAACAGGTTAATTAATGTATTATCTTAAGAAAACACGCTTTGTTATCCAGTTATCCCAAGAAAACAAAAGGTTGTTTATTCTGTCATCTCAATAGAACAAGCTCTGTTATCTCTAGGTAATGAGATAATTACAAAAATGTCTTTTCCCCTTATTAGGCTTCTTAAAATGTTTATCAGAGATTAGGGGTGGCATGCCAGTATGCAGAGGTGGGAACTGTAGCAACTGATTTAAGGTCACAGGGTAAGATCAAGGAGTACCTATTATTGATAATAGTGATCGCAACAGACGGTATTGGTAATAAAGACTATCTAATGCAAAATAAAATAAATAATATTAATAAACAACCTTTTGTTTTCTCATGATAATGGGTTATTATCTCATTATCACGAGATAACAAGCCTCATTTTCTTGAAATAACAAAATAATTATCTCAAGATAATTGCATTAAATAAATAATATTTGGCATTGCAATTCTTGGCCTCTGTACAAAACAAACCTAATCTGAGAAACACTGCCATCATTAGAGCTGCTGCCTGCTCGTATTTTGTGAAAACTGGACTGAAGATGGAAATACGTCTCCAGAAACATCTAAATTAGTTTTGCACATTATTAACCAAAAGACTAGTTTAAACACAGATAACATTCTTATCATCTTCCAGTTAAAATAAACCCATATTTGTGTTTTTGCTAGCCAGCACCCATGTTCTTTCATGTATTTATGTCATGTAAAGTGATACATGTAGTACTCACAGTATAACTATCACCACACTGGGTGCCAGATGTTGCCCTTTCTTCTCCTGTTGGACTCATGGGCTTAGGGTCAGACATAGATCTCTGCATGGCTTTTGGTCCCCTTGGACTTGCTGGAGAGGCTTTTGATGGATCTGTACCTCCTCTTAGCTTTTGTGGGCTTGTATCACCCAGTGATTTGTCATAGGACACAAACTCAAGGGATTTGCTAGGGGATATGCAGGGGGATATGGGGGAATAGAGCACTTTGGGAGATTTAGGTGGGGCTTGAAGCATTGAGGACTCAACTTTGAGGTTAGGAGACTGGCCTATTTCTAAGGGGGTAGGTCGTTTCTTTGGTGAAGTCCTCTCAGAGTCAGACAGCTCCATCCTGGTGTCCATTCTAATGTTCCCCTCTGTATCAGTTTGTATAGAAATCTCAGTGTGGGCTTGAAGAGACATCTCTGACTGCCCACCCCTATCACCCCTGGCGGTGCGTGGTCGGCTTTGTCGGCTTCTGGTCTGAGCCTCCCATTCATCTTGGTCCTCATCGTCAGTCTGTACACAGCTGTCAACGCTCTTTTTAGCACTTCTCTTTTTTCGTCCTGCTGTGTAAGCTTTGCTGACCGTCTCATCCTCTTCATCTGTCTGGCATCCACTATCCGTGATCTTTCGGGACAGCACTGTGCCATCAGGTCCTAGGACAACTGCCTCCTGCACACCATGTCCTGGTAAGTCCCCACTTGGGTACATCTGACGAAGCTTCTGCTCTTCCAGTTGCATGCGCAGCTGCTCTTGGAGTCTCTGAATCTGCTCAAGCTGCTGTTGTTGCTGGGCATAGGTTTCTTTCTGCATCATAAGGTGAGCCTGTCTTTCTTCTTCTTGCTGGGACAGGATCTGCTGCTTCATGGCCTGCAGCTCCTCCAGTTCCTTCTGCACCAAGAGCTGTTCTTGCTCTCGGAACCGCTGAATCTCTTGGCGCTCCCACTCTAATTCCTCAGCTAGGCGCTGTTGCTTGAGTTTCTCCATCTCTAGCCTCTCACGCTCTGCCTGATACTGGCCATCCCCAGGAACCATGGGTGAAGACAGAGCTTCTAGTGACGCAGCTATAGCCTCCAGGGATGCATCAGTGTAGGTGTCAAGGGATAAAGAGGTTGTTGCTGTAGCGGCACCAGCAGTAGTAGTACCCCCTCTAGAGATCTCCAGATTGAGTGGGGCATCTCCTTGTTCTTCTGGTGCGGTAGTGGAGATGGTGGACAGGAAACTATGGGACCGTGTTAGTGGCAAATTCTGGAGGTTGGACAAGGAAGGCATGGTGTCGCTGGTATGCATACCTGACAGAGTGTTGTATGTTGTACTAAATATGGATCCAGGCTGGGTGGTAATGGCATACGTAGATGGGATTGGTGCTGCAACAGAGGAATAGACCACCCCATTTGATGACCTCAAGACGCTGCTTGTACCAAAGAGTGTACCAACAGCACTTGTGACTCTGGATTGGGAATAGGGTGGAATTGTCATTCCTGCGTAAGTCCCTTTCTTGGAGTAGTCAACAGCTTCACCTGTCAAAGTCAAAAAATATCAGTTGAGTCCAAATAATGCAGACTTATTCAATGTTGAAGCAAGCCATGCCTTATCCAAATAATGAAAAAAGGTGGAAAAGGGAAAAAAACCCTCCAATGTTGATAAGTGCAACAAGTATAAACAAGATGTACAGTAATAGCATGCAGGCACATGCAAAATGTATTACGATGAAAGGGCAAAAAAAAGAACAAAAAATGAAGTGTCCATGCAAAACAAAAAGAAAAGCAAAAACAAACAAAAATGCCACGTTAGCCAAGAATGAGTTGAGGCAGTTCAAAGTGACATTTAAGTGACAGGTCTGCAATGTCACTCCACTGACCTGCATCAGAAATCTTTGCAGCGGTAAGATCTACTGCACCCTCTGTGGTGCCACTGAAATTATAGCTGTTCTTACTCTTGTAAAAGAACAGACCAGCTTCTGCTAGGTTAGTGTCTGACATTGACGGTTTAATTCCACCAAACCCTCTCATGCCGTAAGGTGATCGGTCATACTGGTAATGGTCATCACGATATCCAAAGCGGTCTTCAGGCAGGGGTGTGGTAGGTTGCTGAGTAGTGCAGACTCCTGCAAATGGGAGCTTGTACACAACATCACAGCATACAGCTCTTTTTCCTGCAGTCAGATCAACTGGTTTGCCATCATCATCTGTGATGACAGCTGTGACCACCTCTGCAGAAGCAGCATCCACTGATACCACAGTGTTGAATGGTTTTGTTGTGCTAAGGTCAACAGCTCCTGCCACTGTGGTTGTACCCGTAGTTAATCCATTGGCAACACAATTTGCAACAGAAGTGGGTGCAATAGTGACAGGGATAGTCTGGAAAGTTCCTATACCTGTGCTTGATCCAACTGAGAGGTTAATAGGAATCTCTGTACCGGCATTAGTGGAGGGCTGAGAGTCTATGGGCCGATATATAATTTGAGAAACAGGCTCAAATGCTTTGTTTTTTGTTAGCTGAAGGGGCACTGAGGATACTTGAGCGGTGTCTAAATTGTCACATTGCTGGATTGTGGCAGAACAGGTCACAATGGTGATACTATCAGTCATTATAGAAACAGTAGACGATTCAGCACTGAGGTTGACCACAGGTGACTGCACTGCACTGTTCTGACGACTGACATCAGTTGCAAAAGACTGACGTCTTGGGTCTGGGCCAGCAGACAGATCCACACCATTCATGTCTGATCCTGGGTCCACCTTCATAGTCCTAAGATCTACCACCTCAGAAGGTTGAACAGCCTGTCCATTCTGTGCTGGCAAATGAGGCTTAGGTTTCTCCATAGAGATTGGGACACCATTTGCCCTTGGAGCTGGCACTGGTGGTGGTGTCCTTTCATGAACAACAGAGACGGTGGTCCTTTGAACTTCAGTGGTGACCACTTGAGAGATCAGGTTAGGCATAACAACAGGTGGCTGTGCCGAGGCAGATATAGCCTCAATTATGTGACAAGAGCTAGACACATGTTTTTCTGGGCCACAAATCTCTTGACTTTCAATGGATTCTGTGACTCGTGTGTATGCCAGAGGCACCCTGGTTGTTGTAGGAGGGGTTGGTTGTGGGTGCTGCTGTGGATATGATTGAGGTTGAGGCTGTGGTTGGTGATAACTTTGGGGCTGAGCTTGACGTGAAGGCGATGCCGGGCCAGGGCTGGAGGGAGCTTGAGTTGAGACAGTGTCTACTGGAGAGCTGGGCTGAGATGGCAGTGTGATGACGACATACGTGTCACGAAGATTGCTGGCATATCTTGGAGAAGAAGGAGACTTTGGTGACGGTTGAAATGGCTTGCTCTCAGAAGAAGGGCTCAGATTCAGGACATTGTCACTAGGACCAGTGGGAAGTACAGTGGGTCTTGGTGGATGTGGGGCATGGGCAGGTGAAGAAGGCTGTGACCCAGGCTTTGGTGCAATTGGTGGTTTAACACCATGTCCTGGTCGGTGACCATCTCCAATCCCTGCATGAATGGTTGGCTTTGGGGCAACAGGAGGGGGAACATGAGGCTTGTACATTGGTGTAACTGTTTGTCTTGTAGATGGTCCCTGGGCTGCGGTCATAGCTGCTGTCTCTGGCCTGACTGGAGTTACTGAAGCCTGAGGTGGAAGTGGAATTGGAGCTTTCCTGGGGAAAACAGTAGGTTTTGGTGGGGTGGGAGGAGGCAGTGGTGGTGCAACAGGTACTTCTGTTTTTTCCTGAGAATTAGCCCTACGCAGGACACTTGGCTTGGGGGGTATAGGTGGGGCAGTTGACACCACGCTGGGAATACTGGGTGTGTACTGAGGGACTGTGGGCAAGGGTGATACACTGGCAATCACAGGGGCTGATGTTCTTGGGAGTGCACTAGATAAGTCCACAATATCAGCCTGGGATTCTGCGATTGTTGTGTGAGGTTGCTGATCAGATGTTGATGATGGAGGGGGCTCGGCAACCACTGTCACAGGCTCAGTTTCCATCACTGATGTTGTGTCTGATACTGTGACTGTATCCTCTTCCTTTTTAATCACACTCTCGTCATCAGAAGATAGTTCTCCTGAAGAGCACTGTGTCACCTTTAAGTCTGGAATGGGATGGAGTGCCCTTTTAGAAGCAGTGGCTTCTACATCTGGCTCCTGCTGTGTTGGACTTGTTCCAGGAGTGAGCACTCTTTTAATTAGCTCTTCATAGGCAGTTTCAGCATCCAACAATGGTTTCCCATCTTTGCCTAATGTTACTGTGCTGCTTTTGGAGACGATATTCTCAGCAGGTTGAAACACAATTTTTGGGGTAGCACTTTCCTTTGTTGGCTGCATATTTTGATATTCCTGCTCAAGCTGCATGAATTCCTTCCTCTTCTTTATCATGTCTTCATAAACCTCATCTGGTGATCTTAGTTTTTTGGGCTGAGCAGGAACAACAATCTTCTCTGGTTCCGCTTGATCAGCTGTTGTATTATCAATAAGAGATGCATAGGCATAGTCTTCAATGAGCATGCCTCCATAAAGGGACTCTTTGCCCGGCTGAATCTCGCCTTTGTCGAGTGTCGGAGACTTAACCTTCAGCATTATTTCCTCATAAGCCTCATCAGCAGATTTGAGAGGTTTTTTCTGTGGTTTATCAGTATTTTGATCATCTGTCGGGGAGTGAAGAGATACTGATACAGGCAGTTGATATGTTTTCTGAACTGCTGCAATCTTTGAGGCATGGATTTCAAATCCCTCAGGGTCTGATTCAATACTAGGGGAGAAATCAGAGCAGGAGGATCGTCTGATTTCTTCCATCTCAGCTTCTTGCCTCAATTCCTCAGTTGGTGAGGCATCTTCAATGGGGGATAGGTTGCTTGGTGGTGTCTTTGGATGCTCTCGCCTCCTCTGGGCACGAATCTCATCTTTGTCTTTCTTGGATTTTTTCCCAGAGCCCTTTTGTTTTTCTTGCTCCTTAAGCAGCTCCTCTTCTTCTCTTAACTCTTCTTCCTCTGAGGAGTCTTCAATAGTTGGTAACATTTGACCAGGCTGTCTATGTTTGGCTTTTCTGTGTTGTTTACCCTCACCAGAACGGATATGGCTGGGACTACTACTGTCACTGTCTTCATCCAGTGATGAGAGGGATGTTGGGGATGTACCAGGAGTGAAACTGGATGCATGTAGACTGGATGATCCCTCACCTCTCGAACGATCGTCTGGAGAGTCTGTGAGGCTTTCCATTTCAGGCTCTCCATCATCATTAGGTATACGCATAGGGCTGCTGGTTGAATTTAGCTCCATAGTTTGGAATTTGCGAACTGCAGTACCACTCTGATGCTCCTCTTGTTTTGGTTCTTGTCCCTCCTCTTTCTGTAAATCAGGTTTATCCTGTGAGCCGTGGAGTAGCTTATCTTCTTCATCATCTGGACTTATAGTGCTTTTCTTAGTAAGTCGCCTGCCTTTTCCTGATGTACTCTTCTCTACAGCTTCTGTTGTCTTCTGTTCCATTTGCTTTTTCTCATTCTCTCTGATCTTGCGCCGGACTAGGTTTTCCTCATCAGACGGGGAAGCATCCTCATTCTCACTCATTTCCATTATCTGTTTTCGGATAAATTCCTCATCATCCCCAGACATTGGGCTCTCTTTTCCAAAGCTTTCACTGCTATCATCCAGAGAATCTGCCCTGATATCCATGGGTACAAGGAGCTTTTTCTTTGTGGTACCTTTGGCATTTTTCTCAGTAAGTTCTCTGTCATCTTCTGAGCTGGGTGAGTCAGGTGAGAGAGGAAGCACCTCTAATTTACGTCTCTTCTTTAGAGTGTCTGTTAGTTTCTCCTCGTCATCCTTTGGTTGCGTGATTGCCTGGGCCTCAAGAATGGGAAGGACTGTGCTTTCCAGCTTGGCTAGGTCTGATGGGCTGGTGGGACTGCTGTCCTTGGCAGCCATTTCTTTCTCTCCAGGTTCTTTCAAGGTCTCCACTGTTTTCACCTGTTGGATTGAAATAAGGCACAATTATTATTTTTACTCAGACACTACACTAAAAAAACTGGAATATATAAACTGGGATTTTTGACCTCATTACATGTGAACCATGTAGGTGCATATGAATTCTTGAGGAATACCAAATGGAAATGGAAATATGCTTTCTAGAGCTCCATTAATTTGTTACAAAAACTGTATTTTTCCAATACCTGAAAGAAATAGTAATGACAGCAAAACCAAATCAATTTGGTATAGACAGAATCACAATATTTCTTTACAATAACCTGGTAGAAAATCCCCGCATCACGTACATAAAATGAAACAGCACTTCCGTCATTGATTAGTTTTTAGCAACCTAAAAAATGGCTACCTGGAAAAATCAGTATCAGTTTAAGTGTACACTATATTTGGAATATTTTCACCCCTTTACCTTGCTGTCACACAGTTCTTTCCAACGGGTAACTGAAGCTGTTTTCTCAAAACCATCAGACTCCAGTGACAAAAACAATAATTTGACTTCACAGAAGTTGCAGGTCTACCACAGCCTCGATTAGTCACTGGGTAAGGTACAGTGGAGGAAATATTCTAAATGTAGTGTGTCTAAAGTAATTTTTTCAGTTGGCTAAAATATATTTTTCTGCAGCCCCCAATGCAATACCTTGCCTAGCTTCTATGTTGGTAGAGTTGGTTTATCAAAGACACTAACAAAGCAACACAGTACATAAAATAAGCGCAGCAGAAACATCAGATTGGTTGGACCAACATGTTTACCTATGTAGCTTTAAATTTTACAGCTAGGATTGAAAATGGCAATGGAAATAAACAAGTATGCCGATTTCACATATCTCTGCGTTTAAAATCAATTAACCTTTCACTAAACCCTGCCCCTTTGTGATGATTCAACGTTCGTCTGCACTAATGCGATGCCACACAGCTGGTTGAATATCAGCAAAGTTTCCCTGCTTCCCTTCACTGGTTCCTGTACAGCAGGGTCGGTCTTTGTTTCACTGTTATAATCATTAAAAAGCAAAAGCAGCATGTGTATACATTCAGTAGGCTATATCTTCAGTAGCTATCTAGCTAACACTACACTTTTCAGGGTTTGATTTTGGTTTTGGAACAGGGAAGAAATGTTTATCTTTTTCCAACCTCTCCAGGTAACGAGTATCATTAAAAAGTGATGTTTTTAGCGCAACATCATGGCGTTTCCTTCTGCGAAGTACAGACCAGAATCACCTGGAAATGATTGTAAACAGTCATTGTGATTTGATCAATAGACTGTTTCACTGCTACTCTGTTGCTATGGGAACAGCTTTGGTCCCTGTTTACTTCCTGTCAGCTACTGCATTAACAAACACTCCAACAGGAATTAGAGAGGGATCCTCCTGGATTGTTAATGCTGTCAAGTTTGAGACGGTCTTTAATTTAGTAAATTTCTTTTTTGGACTAAGTTCAAGTACTGAGTATTTACCTTGGCGTGGAGGATGGACATCTTAGGTATTTTCAAATGCTTTTTAGATAATCACTGAAGTTGCCAGTGTGTACAGAATCACAATTTAATTTATTTAGCCAGCTTTCACTCTTCAAGAATGTGATACATGCAGTCTGTAATCTAAATGTACTGCTGTATAATGCAGTGTTGAGATATTAATTTCAATATGGTGCAATGTTACATTCAGCCATTTCCATATAACTGACCTCCACATGTATCTGAACGTATTTAAGTAAACAATGTGCAAAGATAATCATAAAATCTACCTCTACTTGTGCTAAACACTATGATCACCTCAACGACTGCGTCTTCATCACTGGGCTTTCCCAGAGCCTCCTTTTTCTCCTCACTGTTCGTATTCTCCGCTGGGCCTTTGTCCTGCTCACTTACTACTGGGATTTCAGGTTCTGCTACAGGGACTGAAGCTACTGACACAGACACACCTCCATTTTCCAAAGCCGTCTCTAATACTTCATCGTTCTTTGATACTGTGTGCTTTTCTACATCAAACTCTGCAGTGCCATCTTTGTCACAGGCTGTGCTCGTCTCTGATACTGAAATAAGTTCCTGGGTGTTTCCAGCAGGAGGTTGTGACTCAACCTCTCTTTTGTCAAGTTTGCCTTCCTCCTCTTTAATTGACACCTTTTGCTCTGAAACTTTCTCCAGTGGTTTCTCATCACTGCCTGTCAGAGCTAATGTCTCCCTCCCTGCTTCATGTTGATTTTCAGCAATACTGTTTGTATTTTGTGAGCCGGCTTCCGTCTCATCTTGAATGACTTTCTCCTCACAGGTTGCGTCTCTGACATGTGTCTCGCTAATGACAGCTGAGGATGACACCATCTCTACGTTTTGCACTGATGGCTCAACACTGTCGGTTTCTTGCCCTTTAGAATCAGGAGTTGGGGGAATAGATGTAACCACAGCCTTCTCAGATTTATCATCTGCTTTTAACGTTGTATCTACAGGTGTCTGCTTTTCCTCTTCCTGAGCTATGATCTCTGCTTCAACCACAGGTTTTTCTTTCTCCTCTGACTTCTCAGGCAATGACACTGTCCCACTAAGGCTTTCTTTAGCAGGTGATGGCTCACACTTTGTTTCTGATTCTATCTCTTTATTTATTAGGATCTCTTCTTTTGGGATTTCTTCAGCGACAGTCAGAGCTGACTCACTTGCCATTTCTGACTCTTTCTGCTCTATTAGAGGGCAGACGTTCTCTGTTTCAGTAGAGGAAGGTGCTGGACCTGATTCAGCTTTAACAACCTTCTCCTCCAGAGTTTTCACCTCACTTGCTTTTTCAACTATTATCTGTTCAGTTGCTTCTTCTTCTAAAGCTTTCCCTTCATCAGCTTTTACCTCAGTAGCCCTTTCTGCTGCTTCATTCTTCTGAGCTCCCTCCTCTTCAAAGGCTTTGTCATTAGATGATTTATTCTCACTTCCTACCACCTCAATGGTTTCTTTTTCAACAGCTTTCTCCTCAGTATTTTTTTCCTCAGCAGCATCCCTCACTGTTTCCATCTTAGCTGGTTGTTCCTCATCAGGTACTTGCTCCTTAGCTGTTTCTCCTGCAGTAATACCTTTTTCAATGTTCTCTTTTGCTTCCTCTACAGCTTTGGTTTCTCCATCAACAGGAGCAACAGGAGGTGACTTATCTGCTGGGTCAAGCGGCTTCTCCTCTTTTTCTATGGGTTTGTTTTCGACTTTGTTAGCCTGACTTTCCTCGTCTGAAGCTGAGACAGGATGTTTGTTTTCTGACACTACTGCATAACTTTCAGATGCTGCACATTTTTCTGGCTCTGGTTTTAAGTCTTGCTGAGTCTCATCAGGTTTAGGTATCTCAACATTGTCAACAGGAGCTGAATTTTCTGCAACTGCAGAAGGAGTAGCATCTTCTTTGGATACTGGCTTCTCTAATATAGGTTCTGGTTCTGCCTTTATTTCTGCAGGTACTTCATTTTTTACCTCAGGTGCTACACTGTCAGCCTCAGGTTTTGAAGTGTTGTCTGTTTGCTCCACATTAATAGCTGCGTCTACCATATCTGATGGAGCTTGATCTGCAGCAGTAGCTTCGTCTATCTGTGGTTCTTCACTTGGCTTAGCAATTTCTACTTCTGTTATTTTCTCCTCATTAGCATTTGTAGGTGAAGAATCTGGCTTTGGATCAACCTGAACAGGAACTTCCTGTGAGACTGCATCTGGGATCGAGGCGGCTTTTGGCTCAACTGAATTAGTTGTCTCTTCTGAAAGCTTTTCTGGAGCAGGCTCCACTGTGTTGTCAACTGTCAGGGGAGCTGCAGCCTCACTCTGGGTAATCTTGGGATTTGGCTCTGTTTCTACCTCAGCGGGGACTGTTGGCTTGTCTAAACCTGTATTAGTCAATAGATTTTGCGTCTCACTTTCTACAGAGGGAGAAGGTTCCTCTGTTGCATTCTCAGAGCCACTCTGTTGCTGACCTGCTGGGATTTCACTGACAGGTGCACTCTGCGCTTGTTGCTCGACATTAGGTGGCTCCTCTGCTGCTTTCTCGGAGCTGCTCTGCTGTTGCTCAACTGCTGGGATTTCACTGACAGTTGCACTTTGTTTATCAGCATCTGATGGCTCTATCTCAGGATGAGACTGGTCCTCTGCTATTTTCTCAGAGCTGTTATGCTCTTGCTCAACTGCTGGGATTGCAGGGATACTCTCAGCTACACTCTCTGAAATTTGAGAAGGTTGTTCAGGGTGAATTACAGGCTCAGACACCGGTTCGGCTGCGAGTGGTTGTGTTTGTTCTTCTGACTGTGGTGTTTCCTGATGGGTGCTATCAGGAGGAGGAGTGCTAACAGAGAGAGGGGCATCGGGAGGAGGTGAAGTTAATGCACTATCAGGTGTAGGAATGGTTTCGGGCACTACCTTGGTATCAGGAGTTGATGGGGTTAGGTCTGCTGCTTCTACTATAGGTTTGCTATCTACAGCAGCGGGGGCAGGGGTGGAAGAGGGAGCAGGAGAAGGAGCAGGAGTAGGTGGTTGCTTCTTTGGGGAAGCCATGGCTGGAGGTGGCACGTCTCCCAGCTGGCCTGACATGGCTCTTTGGGTCTGGCAGTTGAGGCAAAGCCATTCTTTCTGTAAGACAAAGTTAAAAACAAATTGTTAGTTCTTAAGAATACACATAATGACGGTTTCCTGCGACATGATTTCTACTACTACATTCGAAAATAAGTAAATGTCTCTACGTGGGTAAAACGTCACTGTGACAACACAGCAGTGTAACTTCTTCTATTTCAAGGGAAGCTTTTACATTTATGGGACTTAAGAGACAGGCCTATGTATAATGCATGGTAATGGGACAGGGGTTTACCAATGCATGTCAGAGAGGCGTGGGTGGCCTGTGCAGACATTTCATGTAGCAGACTTACCAAAGAGACTGTGTTTGAATGTGTAGTATGTGTTATTATGATTGTATAACTTGGTATGCATATGTGTTGGCATAATTTAACCATGACAGTGAACATGCACATATCCTAAATGTGTTTTTAACCCCAACCTGTTCATTAGATTATTTACAAACATTCAAGACTGACAAAACAAGGATTTTCTGCAGGACTATAATGCAAGTCAGCGAACTGCAAATGTTTTTCCCAAGACTCTGTACTCCCTGAACATCTTATTTAGCTCCAATTACACCTCTATCCAAACGCTGAGGCACAGCACAGGCCAATTTAAAGAATCGGCCAGTGCTGTTTATTCTTTAAGTACCATAATTTCCTCCTTGGAAACACCTGGGATGTAGTCCTTACCCAAATCTTAACGGCATTGCTGCTTGCAATGGAAAAAGAAACACACTTCTGGCACAGCTGCTCTCATCTGTCATCTCAGAGCTCTGCGAAATCTGTCCTGTCATGGCGGTCTTAGTATTGCTGTATGTTCCCAGGTACTGACTTAAACACAGGGCTCTGGAGGAACATACCGTAACACCAAAGGCCCTGCTGAGGGCTATAATTCAAGAGCTGCAGCTATTATTGGAGTTTAATATCCAGCACTGTTTTGCTTTAAGTGGTTGTAAAAGTGCTGATAAACAATCAACATGTTGGGGTTGAAAAAAAACTACATACTGGAGCTATAAACAGTGTAAACACACATACACACCTACACAATGTGGGGACACCATGCCACAATGTGCGTTATGGGGACCACACGCGCAAATGCTAATCTGCCTCATGCAAAACTTGCACACACACACATAAACAGTGACTCTAAGAAGAGGTAACAGTCAGCATGTTTTCAACCATCCTCAACTCTGATGTAAACACCTCATTTCACATTTCGCCAAGTGCTCCCCCCCATCCCCCACCCCTCGTATAAATGCCGTTGCCTGGCTTAACAGTGGGGTTTATGCTAAATTCGGGCATCAGAGAAGATTGCAACCCGCATGTTAAGCCATGCAGCAGACAAGCCACCTCTCTCCAAGCAGAGAAAGAGGGAGACAGAAGGAGGACGGAGGAAGAAGACTGAGGAAATGTCGCAGCAGAAAAAGTCGGGGTAAATAAGGCATGAGCCGCCCTGTTTTAGTCCATGCCTAAGAAGTAGGATGCTTGCACTCTTGAGAGAATGACACACCTGCAAACACATCTCAGTGGCATGTACCCAAACATAAAAAAAGAAGCACAAATGTTTTGACAAGGCAAATATTTATATATGTGGAATCGTGACTCACAAGATGAAAGAAGCATTAATGAAAGAGACGATTTTAATATCTGGAAGAAGAGAAGGAAACAGAGACATGGAGGGAAGCCAATGAAAGACATAAAAAAACAACAGAGATGTGTCTGCTGAGGTTTGCTGACGTTTGTGAGTTACATTCCCAACTTGACAGAAATCCAGTTAATCCTCAGACATGATGATGGACACAGCACAGATGCGAATTTGTGTGCGTGTGTATGTGCGCGAACAAGCACGCGCTATCAACATCCGTCCCTGCTGGGAGAACTTGAGATGGGAGTTTCTCCAGCTTGATGGCTCTATCAGTTAAAGCAGAGAGACCAGGAACTGAGAGCCGGAGAGATGGCCGCCAGATACAAAAAGCTGAAAACCCACTCAGTCAGACAGTCGGTCAGCCTCAGCCTCTTCAGAGCCAGTCATCACCGATGTTATCAACACAACACAACAGGCACACTTAAAGCTTTTACTGCCCCCTCAAAAACACACTTGGTCTGTGTGTTTCTTATAGCTACTGTGCAGAACTAAATCACCCCTTTATTTGGAATAACCTCTCTGTTAAAGCAGATATGTTACTTTACTCACTGCTGCTAAGTGGCCATCTCCAATTCCTACTGACATGTCTTACAGCAATCACCCTAAAAGGCCATCAAGTCATTAAGTGTCTTTCTGGCTTCACTTAAAGTTACACAAGGCAACTTTGGCAGCTCTGACCCCAATAAATTTCAGATGGCTGTACACAGTACGCCTTTGTTTTCTTTCCCAGGTAGCCCAAGAATACAGAGAGATAAGAAAAGTGAATAATGTTATGCCAGTTGATACAGCCTGCGCTCTTTTTTTCAAATAGTACTGAAATTATTCATGCATTTCATCTGCAGTTACTTAGTATTGTACTTAGGGACAGTCAGCAGTCAGACAGGGTCAGGTTACAAACCAATCACAGCCGACAGATATCTTTCCCTTCTTCTGTAAATATTCAGTCTGATAAATACGGAAAAGTTGATCATGTTAGTGCAGGGCTACCCAGAGCTTTTCATCTGTCCCACGGACGATAGGCCTACACATTTATAAACAGCGCCTGGAAGAAGATCAGCTCTGCACTCAGGATTTCAGGTAAATAGGATGCAACCTGCTTCTGTGCTCTTGATTGCTGGCACAAAAGGGGCACTCAGCACCTTCCTTGCACTCTCCAGGTGGCTAAAGATGCGGCATGTGTACGGCCTCTAATTTCCAGGGCTGGTACCTGCAGTTATTCCACAGGCTAGTTACTAACATGTCGGGCAGGAAATCCAAAGTGTGGGATCATTTTGAGAAGGTGAAGGACGAATCCAAGGTGATATGTAAACTCATCTTCATTGGTCGACTACAAACATGACGTATCATCTGAAACATGGAAGTAGCTACATGCCCATTAGCCCACAGCGTCATTAACAGGCGGCTCGCTCAGTGTGTGACGTGCACTTATAGATAAAATATAGGCCTATATTAATGAAGGTTCATTAGTACGGTTTTGTATTTCTCTGTAATGTAGCACAGTTTTAACAATGTTACTGATACTATTCTTTCTCACACATTCAACTCAAACCATTGTGTTGCCCCGCCCAAAATATATCATTTAATAATTAAATCAATAAACACGCAGGCGACTAGTCGACTAATGGCCCTAAATGATGACTATTGGTAGACTAGGAAAATTCTTAGTCTTGGGCAGCCCTACTGGTAACACAATATTTTTATAGTGTGGTAAAGGATCTAAAGACTTCCACCACCACTGATCTGAACCAAAAGTCATGACAATACATCCACTAAAAATAAACATGGAAGCGCTTCTTGGATCTGATGCACACAATCAGTGTCCAAAATAAGGGGGGAATGGATTCCCCTGAAAAAAAAATGTCCCATAGTTGTTAAGATATTTGGCTAAAATACAAATATGTCAACCTCACTGGGGTGCTGCTCATAAGGCTTCGTCTTCTGGGGACCATGAATTCCTACACTAAATTTCATGGCAATCCATGATGGAAATTTCCATCTGGGCTAAAGTGGTGGATGAATCAACCTACTGATGGACCAATATCATCTGCTAGTATGGCTATATTGAATGAAAAGATTAACTAACTAACCCCTGATAATGACAGTGATTGATCATTAGTTACAGTCCTAGTTAGAACTAGCTTTATAAGAATTGTCTTACTCTGTCACCAGAGATGATTTCTCCCCGGAACCAACACACACATCAAAAATTTTATTAATAGAGGGAATCCACAGGGTCTAAATTAGTGCGAATGGTACGCTCATCTCTTGCAGCTTTGCCTTGTAATTAAAGCTAACGAGACAGGTGCATTTTTATATAACAATCTTTCCTGCTGCAAGCTTTCAAATAAATGTGACATGCCTGTTTGCTTTTCTGTCTGTCTGCTGTGACTCGCTCTTCAAACAGGAGCATGGATGATTCATAAAAGCATGGGAGTCACCCGCTCACATCACCACCTCACAAGGACATATTCTAGCATCACATGTGTAGGGGTACCAAAAGGTTGACACACACCAACACCCACGCAGATGAGGTTGTGACGAGTTTGATGTCATACAAACACTCAGATGAAAGGCATGAGATACCTCGGAAAGAAACAACAACTTGCTCCTTCTCTTCCCACATGATATTTCTCAAACAAAAACAAGCTCATGCATGAATGAATTAGGCCAGATTCTGTGTGAGCGTTTCCATCTCGCTTTCATCTCCAACTTTCCATCCTCGTCAAACTTCCTCCAAGGACACAGAAAGAAGACAAACTAAAAAACCGCAGACGGCAACCAGATATTGAGACGAGATGGGCTGTAGCCATGCCCATGTTCAGTTATTGTATCCAACTGGGAATCGGAGTGTTGTGAAGGTCGGTGGAGCTCTTTGATTGAGACTTACACCCTACGAGGGTTTTACCAATCTAAATTTAGACAGAGCCTGGCACTGAGAGTGGGAGAGGATCTAGAGGAGGATGGGACAGATGGATAAAGACAGATGAGAGGATGGAGAATGAGAAGAGCCAGAAGAATTGCAAGAATATGCGAGAAACAAAGGGTGATAATGGTGTGAGAGACAAGAAGAAAAATCAGGAAGATGAGAGGAACAAAAGCAGGGAGACGCAGACAGACTGAAACAAAAGGCGGTAGGAGAAAAGGCGGATTTTGTAAAGAGGAAAAGGGTGACGCAGTAGAAGCGAAGGAGCTTTATGGTCATCGGAGGTGATTCAACACCAGCTCCTGCCAACAAGCTTGACATTATCACCATGTAAATCTGCTAATCAATTGCCGGGAAATCAGGACAAGCTTCAGTTCATCATGACTGCCAGGAACAGCCTTAAAATGTTACAGTACAGAGAATTAAGTTGACGTCATTTCCACATACA